GACGCTGAACACAATGCGGGCGATTCATAATAGTGTGCCTCCAAAAATTTGCAATAAACTGACCAACCAGAATGCGCGAGATCTGTCGACCCAAGGCGAATTTGGGAAGGATCGACAGATTTCGCGCATTGTGATTGGCCAACGCGTTGCAAACTCTTGGGGGCGCACTATTGTGAACCGCCCGTATTGAATGCACGACGGTTTATGCAAAGTGCGACGGAAGGAGACGCCGTTTAGGCACTAAAATCTGCAAGATGCAAAGGACGACAGAACAAGATGTGACCAAAAGCAGTGAAACGGAAGCGACGACATAAAGCAACGCGTCACAACGCAAGAGAGCTACCGTGCCGTTGCGTCGTGCCGTTGTACCACGCTCTAAAGAGGCCTGTAATGTTTCGTAATTAGTTTACCAAATTTGAAAAAGTGAACTACCTTCGCCTCAGTGCTAGGCGTTAAATTCCCCCTTTTGCTACAATGGCACATCAAGTGTAAGCTTATTACTGCTATCCAGGACGTTAAGTTGCATTAGCAGAATTAACAGCAACCTCTGGCTTACAAAGCCTGATCATTAACACGAAGGATTTCTTGTGAAGAATACTGGTTCCATGGAAAAGGACTAATGTTCAGAGCGACGTTTACGTTTGCGTAACCGCTTTGCTTACTGAGGACCCAGGACATTAAAAAAAGTCACACACTAGCATGACAGTGTTGTATGCACAACGTTTTGCAGTTACAACCTCTGTCGCTCTAACGTATGAAGTAAGACATTGTAAAAGGTACAAGGTTTCATTGTAACATGCAAGGTACCCATGAGTCAAACTCTCTGTGCAAAACACGTGTCTCGCAAAAGTGATTGTCGCTTTACAAGTTGATTGTGATTCATAGCTGAATGAGATACGTCATCATTTTTCTTGCAGCTGAGGTTGGTACCGTCATCCAGTTTGGGAAGTCAACAAAGAGAGTTATGGATTCTAATATGATTGGACAATATGGGAATGGTTTGAAATCGTAAGTTTTCTGGAAATCAATGAGCTTTTGTGTCCCATTGTTAACCTCTGTTATTCAGGGTGTTTGTAAATATAATTGTGCATCACAACATTTAACAATTTCACACTGTACTTTGATCATTTATCATAAATTTTATCATTTAGTTTAGAACTTTTCTTAATATAGGTGACAATGGACACAAGTACATTTTTTCTCTCCTATTCAGAGGTGCAATGCGAATTGGAAAAGACTTCATACTCTTCACCAAACAGGGTGCAACAATGAGCTGTCTATTCTTGTCCCGCACATTCCATGAAGAAGAAAAGATCGAGGAAGTCATTGTGCCCATGCCATCATTCGAGAAGAATACAAGGCACCCATTCGGACAGAGTTCAGAGGAGAAGCAAAGGGTATGCTGAAACTAATGGATGTTTATGTTACTAAATTACCGTTATATGTTACTATGATATATATTTTGGATAACTATATCCTTATCCTGATTGTGACGACGTATGCAGAAACAAGTACATATATAGGAAGCTGCAGTTAAAGGAGATGCATGAGACTATAGTATAAGTATATACATGTAACGTATGTGTGTTTTCTTACCGGTAAATTCGAATTTTATTTGCTTTTTAAGCAGTTCATCGTTTCTTGCTCCAATGGGCTAGTTCAGTATTAAAAAAGCCATGGTCCTTTGGGAACAAAGCGCACGTGAGTCGGCATGTGTAGCCTCTCTGATAGGACAGACTATTGCACGCCCGTGTATCTGTTCCCGAATAACCTCGCACTAGGCATGCGCTCTTGAAATACCGAACTGGCTCGTTAAATGAGTAAGAAATGCTTAATTTATGCACGATTACCATATTAGAATTAGAATGGCATGGACACTCATTTCACACTGGAACATTCTAACTACATGTTGAAGTATATCCGCTTTTTATTATGTGGTCACAGCACAAGATTGAAATGGATTTGATTTACAAGTACTCGCCATTTAAAACTGAAGAGGACTTCTTTGCCCAGTTTGATCGCATAGATGGTGACTCTGGTAAGTTTTCATTATTGTTTGCGGTAATGTGTACATGCACCTGCTTGTTTCTATGAGTGCACTTGTATAACCCGAAAAATCTAGGTATAACTCAAAAACATCGCTCTTGTGGTTTATAACTATCAACTTGAGAAAAGATTTTTTGAAATCTACACAGAAATGATCTTTTAATGAAAATTACGGTGTGTCACTTTCATGATTGGAAGATGCATGGATATATGCAACAATGAAATTTCTTTGTGTTCTGGGATGATGTTGAAAGGGAAACTCTATCTGTGAATAAAACAATCGTAAAATTTGAGTCCACCAGAGCGAGGATGTTATGTGGCATTGTTAGCCGACGTTTAACGAATCTGTGGACGAGCATTGTACAGCATACAGATGATTTTTGCCGGACTCCACAAGCATAATATGCATCTCTTGTTTCTGTAGTGCTTATTTGATGGATTGACTACGCAGAATAAATGGTTATATACCTTTATTGCTTCATATACTGACATTAGATAAAAATGTCATCAAACTCTCTCCGCATATCTGTATCTACGGATGACTTATTTCTGTCCAAAGTTTCAGATGTTTATTCGTAAAGCCATATGCACGAATTTGGTAAGGTTTAAGTTCCTGAACAATGTGAAAATAGAACTTGCCTCAGATAAATATGACGATAATTTTGACCTTCCGATTTGTTTAAAAGGAACCCTAGTAATAATTTATCACATGAAGCTGATGGATAACGGAGAAACGGAGTTGGATGTAACTACTGATGCCAGCGATATTCTGTTGGCGGGAGCCGTGTCTGCTGCGGGAGTGCCGGACGATAGGTAGAAATAACTATACATAAAATAACTTGCTCTATATATATCAGTTTGATATAGCTTAAAATGGTGTGTTGGTGGATTACGATGCCTGTGCATGTTCGCAAAAGGAATCGATCTAGAGTTTAAATATTATGCAAGCATCGCTAAGAATTTACCGCTCCAGAAGGGTTCGATACCAACAATGGAGCTTTGATATCTCACATAAGGTTTGGCAGTAGCCATTTCCCACACCAAAACTGGAAACACTTTAACTGCTGCAAACAGGTTTTTTGAATTATCGTCGGTGATGTTTAGTGTGTTAAAATGAACCGAAATTCGTGGAAATTGCACAAATTGCATCAATTTTATTATAGTGGCTTTTGATGTACGCTAACAAATCATATTTCAATTAACTTCCAGTCTGGTGCCAGAAAGGCAATCCTTTCGAGCCTATACTTCCATCCTTTATGCTGAACCCAAAATGAAAATCTACATCCAAGGTCACAAGGTACACACCAGACGGCTTGCCTACACACTGTACAAACCAAAGTGAGTTAATTTGGTCAGTTTTTCCATACAACGCAATTGTGTCGTAAATGCTTTCTCGGGGTGGTGTAAAGCTCTGTTTGTGGATGTTAGTGCGTTCATTTAAGTGTAACTAAATATGTTTAATTTATATACAAATTACTGGGAATTACCTGAGTATATTCCTCAAGACCTGTCTTTATAAAATGGGTGACATTGGGGCTAATGTTCCGTTTATGAGATAGTTAAATGACAACAGACCAGTTTTTTCGTTTCTTTGGCTATGTTGTTGTGGGTCCCTTGTATGAATGAAATATTGTGATTGAACTGTAAGTTTGTCTATGACTATTTTAGTTGTAACTGTGTGTTGGAACAGAACCTGTATAAATGAACTTTTCGCTTTAGGTTCAAGTAAAAAAGAAAAGTGCACATAAATGCGTGGTCTGAGTGTTTGGGAATGTTATCTGATAATTCTACATTTGCGTAACTATTTGAAATGCAAGTGGAGTGTTACTGATCATGTAGTTGCTACAACATATTGTACTCGTTCCCCCATGCACACCGGCATCGCTGCCACATGGTCTTGTGATCATTTGTCCCGTACTCGGTTGTTAACTTTCAATTTTGCTGGCTATTAGGGTGAAGCTTGTGCGGACAATGTACATGTAATTACCTCATTATTTCCTCAAAAAGGTCAGCATTTTAAAATTTGTTTCAGGTATTATAATACATGAAAGTTGTTGCGGTTTGATTAATTTTATTCAACGTACCAAATTCACAAATTGATTCTAAAGTGAAAGGAATTCTCTTTTTTTAAATTCAATTGTGTACAACTCTTTGATCACCCAACTACAGTGCATACTGAGTCAGCTTATCCCTCTCACAGGTTGAGAAAAACCGTTTTATATTTGAAAACTTCTCGATTAATTCATTACACCAAGGCTATACAAGTACACGTCTACACGATTTAAAACGAGGTCAGAAATGAAGGCTACAGAGGCAGTCCATCAAGCTAAAGTTGGTGAGTTCAAATCAGAAGTGTCATCTGTATGAATATATATAAAAATATAATACCAGAAAATTAATATAGGAATACTTTGTACTTCACACCTATAGTCCATCAGTTCTCTAAACTCTTCTGCTTGCCGCAGAGGCATTGACGTAACATATAGAGCGAACCAAACAGCACATTGAACATTGTGTATTTCTTGTTTTTGTTACTTTATAATAATCTGTCAACTTATATATTTGTACTGTTACTGTTTACTTTTCCTGATCTTCACCAATATGGCAATAAGGGTCATATTGAAAATGAAATTGAACATATCACAGAACAAAAGCGTCCATTGATAAACGCAAGTCAGCCTTAAGCCTGGTTTCCATATCGACGTGAGAAATGCAGAGAGCAACGCAATCAAGACGCAAACTTCAACGCAGACAAATGGAAACATGTCAAATGGAAGTACCGCCGATAACGCAAACCAGCCCCAGACGGATCGGCAAAGTTGAGCCTGGTTCAACTTGCCGACTGTCTGCATTGAGTCGCTGAGTAGGCCTATACAAACACACACCCATGGCATGACGGGCGTACAACGCTATTTTCTCGCTTAGTACCACCCATTTTGTCCATTTTCTCCTTTTAACTCGCATATGCAGCCTCATTTGTCAATAAAATAGCTGGCCATTAACTGGCAAACTATATCAAACTAGAGTGTCAGTTTGCTTCGAGAGGCAACATTGCAGCCTAAAAAGGGCATCTTTTGCAAAAATTATCCGAGTTTGGCACGCCGTTTCGTTTGATTTTTTTGGTGGAATGAAGTCGCGCCGTGTCTCTTTCGGGAATGTTTGCGTCCTCACGTCTTGTGGACCGTTTGCGTAAATACTGTAAGCTGCCTTCGACAGGTCGACTTAAAATATCGGTACTTTGGCTGTAAGTTAATTACTAATTCTACATGTTGCAGTGCAACGCCGCTACAACGAACAAAACAGGGTCCACCCATAATGATATGTATTGGTCTTTTGGAAAAGCGAATATCTGTCGCCGATGCACGCGAAACGGCCCCTTTAAATGCTTGTGACCTGTGTCTGCGAATTTGTCTACGTTGGAATATTTTGCCAACACTTCCAATTTTAACTTCAAAATATCAAGTCATAGTTAAATAACACTAAACATCGACATTCATGCACTTTGTTCAATGTGTGTTCTTTTCCTTGATATTTCAACTCGCGGGTAGTTCCCACAGGAAGCCTTATCGCGGAGAAAGTTTCCCCAGTCAAATAAATCTTATATGACATGCAGCGTTGTAACACTGGTTTTCGCTCCTGAATTAGAACTAGAATGGATGGGTCCGAAATCGCTCTATTTGTACTTGACCCACTATTAATTTTGTTCGAAGCCGGCAACGTACGAAATGTTAGGAAAGCGTTGCTGACAATCGAAATGAGCAAAACATTTTACTAAGATTTCAGTGAGTTGGGTCGCGGAAGCTGATCTGTTCACCTGTGCACCCGCCGTTTAATGATTCTTCGAGGTACAGATCCTTGCCTAAGTAGGCTGTACCGATGACACGAAGTAAGATTTGCCGCATTTGAGAGGCGCACTTGCGGACTGTGTCGCATGTTGGCCGTTGCCTTCGAGAGGACGATTCTACTTAGCTTCCGAGTCGTTATCATCAGATCTAAAATACTTCTTTTCGTTTAAAACAAATTTTGGTCCTAAACATATTTCTTTTCATTTAAAACAGATTTTAATGTTTGGTAAAAGTGTGTGGAGATTTTGGGAGCTAGGGGGAATGTTGGTGGACGCAATTGTCCGATTTGTACTCAATATAGCCAACAAAGGTAAATATATATCGATCCATGCTCATGTTCGAAATAAATTTCTCTTTTCACTCTGTACAGGAACCTGGTATGTAACTGATATTTAATTCCAAGTAGGCAATTTTTTCAAGTCCAAGTCAAGTCACAAGTCAATTTTTGCAAGTCCAAGTCAGGTCACAAGTCAAAAACTGATAGTTAAGTCAAGTCACGAGTCCCAGAAAAAGCAACTCTAGTCTTACTGGAGTCCAAGTCAATTGACTCGAGTCTACAACTCTGCTTCCAAGCTTAACAGAATGAAAACTATTTCTGTTTTAATGATCGACGCACGTTACACATGTTTGGGCATGTATCTGAAGTTTTATTTAATCTACGCGAACTTTCAAACAAACATTTCTTGAAGAGCCCCTAAGTTGTTTTTAATTTGAGCGAATGCGAATTTTTAACGTCTCGGCAAAAATTTGCTCTGCAAATTTGCAAAGGTTTTGGCATGCATAAGTTTCGATTAATAGTTCTAGACGCCAATTTCGCGTTTCATGCTTATTTTGTCAGCAACATTATAAGCCAACCTTAATAGAATTTAAAATGGAACGAGAACACATGCACCTGGGCAAAGTTAAAACACGTTTTCGTGGTTTATTAAGCAGCCGTTAGCTTCTTGCAGTTAGCTGTCAGTTTAGAAAGCTTCAAGTTAAAATCTTTATTTTCATAGAGATCTTGGAGTTGTATTCAGAGATATTTGTGAATATTTATATTAGCAACCAGGTCTGTTTGACGTTACACGTGCATCCAATACCTTGTCGACTGAGACCTACATTGAAAAGAACGACATCACAACAATCATTTCTGTTTGATGCATCTTATGATTCTGCAAAAGGATAGTACCAGTTCTATCTTGGAGAATTCCGAGATGAATGAATATGTGGGAATGGCTATCTTTCCACTGATGGAATTCATATTGTGAACCTTCAGATATCTTAAGTTCTGAAACACGCGAGGTGGAGAGAATGTTCTCTGCTGTTGTACTGTGCAGGTTCTACAAGTTTGTATATGCACATTTGTAAGTATGCATACAGATATTTGTGAAACTCTCGTCATTTTTGTAGCCGACATGTAATTGTTTTTAAATCTTTGTAGCCAATGAAAAAGCCAGAGAAGCTGAGAGTAAAGCTCGGGATCTGGAGAAGAAGCATGGACAGGGAGGACCAAAGGACAAAAGGGTTGGTTGAAACGTTTGTCAACTTAATACACTTTTATTATTGGTGTGACTGGTTTACAACATGTATTGGCATAGGGTAACTGCCACGTCTAAAATTAAACGTTTCTTCATTTTTCCCAATAGACCTCTATCATTGGGCAGCCAATCTGCTTTTCTACCATTAAAAACAATGTAACCAAAGTGAGACTGGAGGGAAAAATATCTTGTTCCTTTTTATCAATATTTGAAGTTGTATGACTACGTGAATTGCCAAATGGTCTTCGGACAACAAGACAAACATGGCAGCATATATAAAGGTCTGCAGGGAGAACTGGTCGCACGAAACTGATCATGGAATGACACTTGTGTAAAATGAGAAATAAAGTGGTGTGTCATAAAAGACATTGTACAAAGTTCCATCTCAATTTGAAGACGTCATATTGTTTTTATACAGGCCATGACGAGACAGGCGCAAACAGTGGCCTTTGAACTCAGACAACTTGCCAATATTCGGAAAAAGATCGCAGAGAAGCAACAGAAATCATTGAAAGAACCAAAGACAATCAACTTCCATTTTGGCATCAACCTTAGCAATCGAAGATACGACGGTGTATTCATCTACAATTGTGGAAGATTGATCAAAATGTATGAAAGAGTTGGACCTCAAGTCGATGGTGGAGTGTAAGTTCAATATTGAAATTAAAAGATAATTTGTTTCCCTCACTTGTTGACAGTGGAAAAAAGATGAACTTATGATTTAAAAATTAGCAGTCTCCATTATGTGAACTTCATTAAGTGATGTATAACAACACTCCCATTCATCTAGCTTTGGTACATCATACAATTTAAGAAGTAATGATGTGTATTGGGTAACTTAACCAGTTGTCTGTTTTGATGTTTGGAATAGGCAATGCAGTGGAGTTGTTGGTTTTGTTGATGTGCCATACCTAGTGCTAGAACCTACACACAACAAGCAAGACTTTGCTGATGCCAAAGAGTATAGGCATTTACTGAAGGCAATGGGAGAGCATATGGTCCAGTATTGGAAGGATATTAACGTCGGTGTGTATGGAATATGATTATAAATCAAGCTAACTGATGTGCGTATATGCTAGGGTTATTCTTTATGGGATTATTAAAGTTTTTGAATTAATAGAACCATTCCTTCAATTTGCATGTGATTTTTAATTAATTAATTAATAGTGAAAAATCAGCACATGCTCACCTTGTCCAAAATTGCATTGACGCTTTTAAGTTGGTTTACATTTACCCTTTCTACATGGTGGTTAGTTGGTGCATTAGTTTGTCTTAATCATTTTGTTGAAAGTACACATTTTGAAGGAAATTTTACAAAATTTCTATTCATGATAATTTCAAAATCTTCATTTCAGAGCTCATGAAGCCTATAAAAAGAAAATTGCAGCAAAACCTGCTAGATTGTTTCATCTCAAATTTTTTAGTTTTATCATCTCACAATGCACATTTTAATTGTAAATACTTATAGTATTGTACATTTGTTTGTGTTGTTAAACGACAGGCCTACATGTAAATTATTTCAAATATTTGCGTTAGACCTGCTTTGGTGTAATCAACATCAATGGCTTTTTTCTAACATTTGTATTTACAGCTTCACTAGGTGTGACTAAGTTTTGGGAAAACTTTGGATATGTCAGTCAAAATTGGAAGGACCCACCATCAGAAGATCCAAAATTTGTCCGGAAGAGAGCAATGCAGACATCAGTTTTGGTTCAGTGTGGTAGGTTGTGTATCTGATAACATGTATACATTATGTCATATAATAAAGGTACATTATTTCCAGTACTTTTACTTGACGTCAATATCTGGACTCTTCAGTTGACATTTGAACAGCCTAATTTCTAAGTGTTATTTGAAGAGTGGTAGCCAAGGAAGTACACATTGTATCCTCTTTTGTGAAGAAGTGTTTCCTCTGAAAAGAGCTGATGGTGAGAGGAGTTGGTCTTCAAGAGAGTGCTGGTTAGAAAGAAGCTGGTACGTGTATGTTGGGAATAGTGGGGTCATGCAGGTTTGGAGTTGAGGATGAAGGATGCTAGGTGCTGGGACTTGTATCCCAAAGGATAGTTGATGTCTGAGGAAGGTATCCTTCCTTGTTGGTTCATTGGAGTGTGTCAGTCATTGGTTGGTTGTTTGGGTGGAGCTAATGTGTTGCTGAGACTGATCTTGATGGCTCCTCTGAAGCTACAAAGTGCCTTAATCAGTAGTTTCTTGGGCAGTGAGTCGGGCTTGGTTCCAGTGGATACAGTGGCCTTGATCGTGGGAAGGATTTATGATGACAGACTTTTCAGTCTCTCCTGTGTCAAGTACTTGATGTTTCTTATGGTGGTTGATAACGTTTCAGCCAATTTTGTCGTTGACTATCTTGTCACCTGCCTTTGGTGAGGTGTCTTGCTTGCCCTTTTTGTTATATGCGGGTTTTGATTTTGTTGTGGCTGTGTGGTGAACTTGAACTGGATGGCTTGGCTGAAGATGTGCTGAGGCTTTGGGACAGGTGGCCTGTGCTGGGAAGGTTGACAATTGCCCTATGTCCTGATGGTTCTAGTAATGGGCTGATGATGGGTTTAAGGTCACATCAGTGTATCTGTTTTGATGTGGTGGAGTTCTTTTGGTGACGAGTGTCATGTAGGCTCATTGTGGCTCTGACTGCTGCCTTGAAACAGAAATGATGATGCCATGGAGGCACTGCATAGTGTGTCTACCTTTATTTAGGTTATTTCTCTTTTGATCTAAATTATGTCTACCCTTTGTGTGAAAAACTATTTATATAATACCATCTGTGACAACATTACAGTCCCTGGTGTGTAATTTGCAATGTGTGCATTCACAATGCTTCAGCCAGTAAAGTAGCGGGGGGGGGGCTGCAAAGTGGCAGTGGGATGGAGATTTTTAAAGCAAATTTGGGATGCACCTAAAGCTAAATGTGGATGCTCATATAAAATTGGGCAGTGAGAATTGGCTAAATGGGATGAAAGTTGTAAATTGGAATGGGCAGACAAAATCCTGGCTATGCACTTTCCACACTTTCCAGGGGTATAACTGGGGTGAAATTTCTGAGGGGGCACTACAAGCATATTATTTGGAGCTTGTGCATAGACTGTACTTTTAACATTTTAATTGGGAGGCACAGGATAAGGGGACATAAACTTCCATAGGAGATGGGGAGCACACCCCTAATTATTACGCCAGTGACTTCTGCCCTCTAAAGGAAGGGGTTCAAACTGTGCTTCCATTGGAAAACTCGTGTTCCTGCAGCCCCAATCAGCAGGACATGAATCTTGATCCCTGGAAAAATTCATGTCTTAAAGTTCCAGTTACTGAGCATACTGTACTACATACAGTTTGGACGTTCAGAATTGAATCACAATAATACAGCCCTCTCTCATCATGAGAAACACATGAGAAATGAAGAATGCACCACTTTACAATAAGCAACATTGGTACTCACAGAGCTCGTATACAGTCTTAAATATCAATAAATACATTTAGTCATGTAGAGCCAAAGGAGGAAGTAAATAAAAAAAGCCAATGGATATTAAGTTAAGGACAGATGTACATGTATGTAAGATGAATGAGGCATGATGATAGTTTGGTGCAATATTCTACGCTAGTGTAAATTGTTGTTGTGCATGTTTGTTCAGTAAATTATGTTAATTGGGTTTATTTTCATACCATTAATTCATTTACAGGATTTACACATTTATATTCAACTTACAATTTGTTTTCCATTGTTATAAAAATGCTTGCATATAATGATTGTGCTTTTTTTTACTAATTTCATAAGATGCTTGTTTGAAGTGGAGGATCATACCGTTTTCCAGCAGTAACATCAACCGCGTATTCCCTGATGATTGGCAGTGCAGTATGAATCCGGACAGCACACACAACAGGTCTAATAACCTTCCATAGTTGCTGGTTGTTTTCTGTCCTGCTTAGATGTCTAGCTTACCCATATTAAGACTTGTCATTGAGAAATTAAATCTCAGTACGATAACATCAATCGTGACTGTTTGACATGCAAGCTTAGATTGAAGGAGTTGCAATGTTGAGGATTTGGGATCAAATTTAAGTGATATAGGCTGGGTTGAAGACTGGATTGGGCTTTTGAAGATAATATTTGCTGGTTTTGAGGGTTTTGTCCGCATATGGTAATAAGTTTGACTGACATTACTCCAAATCAAGTTCTATATATTATAGTTATCGCCTTTGTGGTACAGTCATCACTTGGTTGACCCCTAATACGCTCAACTGCATCATTTCATTATACTCATGAATGCAATACTGATCCTGTTAATATGCATTAGGCCCTACCAGCAACATTTTGTGTCTGTTCACATGCTCATGTACCATATCAACAGCTGCAGAACGATTCTCAAAGGGGGGGGAGGGAATTTGTTAATTAGTTAGACCATCAGGCATTAAAGGACCTTCCAAAAGTGTGGGGGGCCTCCCTTCTACTGTCACTGCCATGTTATTTCATAAGTATACGAATGGCCATGTACAGAATCATGGAATTCATGACATTAATTATCTGAACCGAAGTCCCAGTTTGCAGAAAACTTCCATTAGATGTGCTTGATACATGAAGAAAGAACAGAACTTAGTCATACCTGCTAGGAAATGAGGAGAAACAACCAAAACCCAAAAGCAAAAATGATAAGAATGAAACTGCAGAGAGACTGGGAGCATGCAATAGCTTCATGCAGAGTGCCGATCATGGCACCTTGTGGTGAAAGGTTTCCCATTGTTCATTTACTTCAGGTGCTCAAGTGCAGAACAAAAGGTTCCCATTGCATCAGGTGTGTTCAAGAAGGAAGTCAAGTCAGCTGAAGAGCAGAAGAAAGAGCTTCTGGAGGTTTGATTATAATTTTTTTTTTTTAACGTTTTCTCTTTTGAGGCTGTGTCCACCGTGACGTTCATAAATGTGTTATCATGCTTTGCAAATGCCATTGTTATTCTGATCATACATTTGTATTGCTCGTATCTTCAACATTAGAAACTAATTTGATACATGGCTGGATTGCAGTCATGTACATGTAATTGAGTTTGCACTTTACTTAGAAATTTGATCAGATTTAGTTATTTCGGAGAAACTGAGAATCTGTTCCCATTGAATTTTTCCTTATAAAGAAAATAACCTATTAAGTTGTTAAAAATAAACAAACTTGAATATTTAGTGTGATTGCCTTTGTTCGAATTGGTGTTGTTGTTATAACCATGGCTTTGTTACAAGAGGAGTTGAAAAAACAAAGGAAGCGACAAGAATTCCAGAAATTTACATTCTTAAAATCTGTTCTTGATACAGTATTCTGTTATAACAGCATTCTTCATAACGGGAGTTGACTTGATTTCCTTTTGCATGTTTTTGCTCATCAGGACATTAAGAAGAAACAGGAGAAGCTTGGGAAAATTGAGGTGAGAAGGTTTTAATGGTTTTGAACACTCTGGACAGAAGAGTCTTTTGAATGCTGTGTTCTTTTGTTGAGGTAGATGATTGTAATGGAAGTCAGAATCGAGGCTTTTATCTTAAGTGAGCAGATGGGAGGTATAGGATGGGATAAAAGTTGAATAGTTGTGATAAAACTATAATAAAGGCAAAATATCAAAAAGTGGTATTTGGATAATGGTAAGGTGTATGTGGCAATCATTTTACATGCAGTTGAGAATTAGATGCAGTCATTGTGTTTCAAAGAAGCCTCCAAACTTTGTTCTGTTCAGAATGACAGATGTGTCATGCTGATCCTCTTTTCTCTAGAGAGATGTGAAATGCTCATCCTGGTCGCACTTAAGCGATGATGAGGACTTTGAAGGAACTCACAAACACAGAGAAAGAAGAGTGAGGATGTGACATATTTTTACAAATCATAGCCTCATATTTCTGCTTTACAACCTCTGGCTCTTACATTCATTATTTCACTGAATAAGTCAGCGTTTTCCTCGGTTGTACTTGAGAAATGCAGAAGTGCTCAGTTTAAATGACCATTCTTTGCTCTCATTGCCTTGCCCTGCAAATACTTTCCTAGTTATTATTTTTTAAATCTTTTGCTATTTCTTGCAGATGTTGGCCTCCTGCCTCTAACATGCCTCACCATTTGTGGTTGGCTTTATTTAGCAGTGCTTTGCTGTATTTCTTCATCGACCTTGCTGTGCCATTTCACCTTCATGGAATTCTTTGCCATGATAAATGTCACAAATATAAGTCAACAGTTCTTATAACTTGTTTTCATTTCTAGGCTCTCCATGATCAATCTACATAATTCATGGAACATCACTGTTCTTTCTCGATACATTTTCGTCCCTGCAAGTTCAAACCAAATTGTCTGGTTTGGCAGGATCACTGATCTGACTAACCCAATTATTTGCATACCTAGTTCATGACAGAGTTCATGCGATGAGTTTTTCTTCAAAACACTTTATACTTCCCTTATATATGTGCAAACTGTTTGTCATCCTTTTGGGTTAAGTGTAGTGTACTTTTGCATTTAAAGCATTTAAACTTGCCCATGGTTTTTTGACAAATTGGGGCCCTGTTGCTGTAATGTCATTCTTGAAAGATGCCGTTCAGTTTACATGCATTCCCATTCTAGTTGTGTTGCCAATATTTGCTGTTTGACAACATTCCTGAGAAAGGGTTGGTCGTTGACCTCTTGTCATGTGCGTATATGTACACAACAAACAAATCACCAAAGCAAAGAAGGTGTGGGACAGCGAAATGCTAACAATTCCAACATTGTTTGTTCACAAATCAATGTAATTTTCAGGTTTTTCTGTCTCAAGTTATGTCAGTCGAGTTGAGTGGCATCCCAGCTTTCTCATGAATATGGAAATTTATACTAGCATAAAAGCTAAGAAGGCTCTCTTGAACTAGCAAAGCAGAAATTGCGGAATGGTTGACTAAGACTCAAGTGGTGTATTTGCAAGGTTTGTAAATACAACTGCTATAAATCCTCACCAGTTTGCAGTTAGTTAACTTATGTGTCAGTGGAAGACAGTTGAGAATGTGCCGTTAGGTCACCCATTTTTTGCTGTGGACTTTTAAATTCATGTTTACATGGGAGAGGCCTGACAACCTTTTGTTCTATTTTGGAGCATTTTGGTCTGAGAATTAATGGATAGGGAATAGTAGACACAGATGTTGGTGGCTTTTATTAAGTTGCAATTTTTTCCCTGCAGACTTCACTCCCGTCATCGACACCTCCAAAGCCCATCGGTAAAGCCTCACCTGTCCAAAGTTACAAGGAAAAGGTGCGTCTTGATGACCAAAGCCGACTATGATTGTGGAAGCCACACTTTGTGACCTTGGTTCACTTCATATTTAGCCAACATGGAAACTTTTAGCCAATGTACCAAAATTGCTAGTGCTAAGTGCCATCATTCACTGTACAGAGAAGTTTTAATGCTTCGTTGGTGCAGACATTTTAAGTTGGTAGGAGTGTTTGTAGAGCATAATGAAACTAGGTGGAATGGATTCCAAATGATGTTCTCTAAATATAGCGTGTAATTAAGAACAACATACACAAATAACATGAGACATACTTGTAATCATTAGTATGACATATGAAACAGCTATGATCAAAACTCTCATTTGTATTTAATATTGGCATATCAGCTTTGTTTACGCTCATGTCACAAAACATATGCAGATATGCAAATAGCTGTACAAAAGCCATACAAATCTGGAGTTTTCTGTACGTTTTTGCACAATATGGACATGACCAGTTGGTTTCACTTTGCAGAGTGAGTAAGCACTCTAGTAGCTAAATATACATGTAGTTCTGTGGTATTTGTGTGTTGAACAGCCTACATCCAGACCAGTTGGCAAAGCTGCCCCTGTGGTAAATCAACAGCAAAGCAGACGACCATCTACACAAACAACAGCCAGCAGTAAGCCAGCTAGTGCCACAGTCAGCAAATACTCTTCACCGGTAGCTAAGCATGACAGCAGGAAAATTGCTGCAATCATGGAGAGGAAAACAGCCTCCAGACCACAGGTTAGTAAAATGCCATCAATTGTCTAGACTAGGCTAGACATCCATGCAAGGCATCATTTTACAATTCCAAACGTGCATGCATTTGTAACACTTACCTGTGCCACATGACACATGTTGTATATGACCCATTCAACACGTAGTTCATGTGACCCTTATTCATAATTTTGATATTGTAGCATTTTCTAAACACTCTGTTTAACTACTCGTTTGTCTTGTCTTCAGTTAATTATCACTCCACAGTTGTTAATGTAACTTCAAGAACTTTTATTCTCAGACTGCATGTATTTAATTCGTTACTCATAATTGTAAGACCAAGTTAGTTTTTACTTTTCAAGATCAATTTTACTGCCACTCAACTAGTCAGTCAAGTCATCCCTCAGTCCTCAGAAATATAGCAGTCATAGTAGTAAGTTCTTACAGCATTTCTACTTACGTGCAGTTCCATTGCAACCTAATCAGTCATTGTCGTTGAATATAGTCACAGTTAATTAACACAGTGTTCAAAGTTTGTGTTGACTGCGTTCACGACAAAAATTGCTGACTCATTAGAAATTGGGGAACTACCATAATCTTTCATCTTTTCTGTGGTCAGTCAAATGGGGGACAATATGTTTTCTGTAATTTTTTTCCCCTGCTTTAGAAACAGTCTCCTGCACCACCAGTTCCTGTTGCCAAGAAAGTTTACGCAACCAAAAGGCAAAGCACAAATAGCATCACCCCTGCGTCTAACACAAGGAATGAAGTAATGACCAAGTGCATTTGTATTTGTCATTTGTAAATCAGTGGTGTGGTATTGGGCAGTATTTGACAAAGTTGCCTTATGCGTCTTATGTGGTATTTTTGTTATGCAGTGTTCGAACTTGAAATGCTTTGTAGGCTTTTAAGTGGAGTGAGTTTGGGATGGAAAACGAACACTAACCAAAAGGCCTCTTTTCTGATTTAGTCAGTGTCGGCAGTTCATGATACTTTGCAAGATTTTCACTTGTCCTCATAAGGGGTGTCACAAATGCTTTCATTAGTAACAGTGAGAGAAAAAAGGAGTTTTTTTGTTACAGTTCATGTATGACTTGGTTGCGCCTCACATTGAGGGACTTGAGAAGACTTGTGCTTATGTATGAATTACAATTTTGAATCCAGTATTTTGAATCCTATGTAATCCTGTTTGGGCAGTTCTTCAGCACTACTCTGCATGCTTCTGTGTGATACACATAGTAGGCCTATATATGTTTTTTTCTAGTATCTGGTTCTCTTTTGAAAACGTGGTGCAAATACAAAAGCCCCTACCGTAGAACAGATTTCTATAATCACTTCTATTTAGCACATGAAAGTGGAAGTCTTTAGTGATGATTTTGAGTTGCACATACAAACTCTTTTACAAACTTTGCTGAACTCTTGCAATGCCACACTCTTAGACTATTCAACATTTTTATAAAAGTAAATGACCTGTGACCTTGTAAGTAATTAGTGGCACTCGCTTTCATACCAGGAGAAACCACCTGAACCAGCCAAAAAGCGGAGGCTAACTGAACGTTCTCAAATCTCAACGGACGAAGAGATGGATGTCAGCAAGGAAGAAGACAGCTCAGATTCAACCAGTTTGGGCAGCGATACGCAGCTGGAGATTGAAAGTAAGAGGCAGATAATAAGCCATAGTGAATTTTGTCTGTTTGGGGTTTTTGGAGGGTCGAAATTGTGAAAATTTCTTTTTGTAACCTTTCATTCATGAGAAGGGATAAATTGTTGGGCTTTTTGCGTGCTTTTTGGTGGGAAGGGAAGTGAAACAGTCCCAAACAGTTCCTTTTATCATACTTTTTCAAAAGCCAAAACAAATTTGTTTACTCTTTACTCGGGGTTTACATGTACTGCATTCTCCTCCCCCCCGGATCTTTTTATGGGCATGGTTGGGTTGGATATTATACCAAGCCACAAGATCTTTGCACCTTACTTTGTATCAATCCAAAATGTAAATGAGATAATTAGAGTAGAGGGAATGATCTGATAGTCATGCTGAAATGTCATGGAAAGAACTGTATAAGTGGGAAACTGTGATGAAGAATGGAACCCCTCAGGTTCTTAGTGTTTTTGTTGTCACCACGCAGCCCAAAACTTGGTGGGAATCACACTTGCCTATAGATACAGCAAGTCAATTGTTACAACCCTCTGAATATGTAAGTTCTAATGACAACTTGACGTGTCACTCCACAACTAGGTGTTGGTAAACGAGTTGAAGCCCGTGTGGATAACAAGTGGTACAGCGGCAAAGTTGTCAAGGTCTTTCTGAAACAAGATGGTGCTGTGAGGTGGAAGATCAAGTTTGATCAGCATCCAAAGGACAAATATGATAAAAGGTATCACAATAGCTACAGTGTATGGTATCTTCTATTGAAATTGAAGTTCTGTACAAATAGTCTGTAAGTAATAGTTGATAGCATGAATTGTTTTTTCCAAGTAGCATATTTTTGTTTCAGTTTGTTTTGTTTTTTGAGGGGTTGGATATTGGGATGTCTTTTACAGTTGGATTCATGAACATCATAGGTGGACAAAGACCCTGAGAAGTGAATGGGGGGGGGTAGTGGAAGATTGAAAAGAGAGACGGGATGAAGACCACCAGTTTGCATATTTGCTTGAAAATACCTGTTTTCTTCCAAAAAGTCATCTGCCATTAGTAGTGTGTCAGTTTGCTGGTGGAAAAAACCTGGCAATGCCCAGTCCTCCTTTTAAAATCTTTCCCCAAATTAGTTACGACAAGAACAGTGAGGATATCAGGGAGATCCAAGACCCTCCTGCCCTAGCTGAAGACAACCAGCCAGAACCGCTGGAGGTGGCCCCAGTGGATATACCTCCCGAGCCTGAAGCCACCCCCTCCCCCCTTCACGAACCTGCCGTCCAGAAGGTGACACCCACTGCAGCGGCCCCGCCCACAGCTGCTATGTCGCCACAGGCCGTGGCCCCACCGAACACCCCCAAGACAACGACAACCACCACACCCAAGGCGACCGTGCCACCCAGCATGGCTGCAGTCGCACCCAGTGCTGACACTGACGAAGTGGAGGAAAGTGTGATGAAGGAAGAGAGACTTGCTCAGGGCTTCAGGTTTGTTTTGTGTCCATACATTCAAAACTAGCTGGAGCTCTTCAATGATTCTTCTAGCTTTTCCTGGAGTCCAAAAAGAATGCTGTGCCACTGAATAAGTAGTTAATGAGGGATGGCAAACAGATGAACCACAGACAAATCCAAGACTTATTAAATGAGTGGAATAAATTTATTGAAATTGAAATAACTAAGATTGTTGCACTTATGCAGTAAAACGTTAAGACCCAAGAATGCAGTAACCTGTAACCTAACTTGTCATGTTTAGACCTCTGATGGACCTACAGGCTATTACTTCACACTATCTAGAAATCTCCCCAAGACGTCGGAATATTATCAATGGATTTGGGTTTTACTTGTTACTACGTGACCCTCAAAAGGAAGGCCCATGTGACATCATTTTATGGGTTGAGTTGTCAGCCAACTTAACAGTGACAGTTTTTAGAAATAAGATTACGCATCCCAAATGTCAAAGTTAATAACAATTCTAGTTTCTATTTTTCAGAATAATCAAGCGTGGGAAATGACCTTTATTATTGCATTTATGCTTGTAAGCTGATATATATCCAGTGTGAAGACTACTTCATAAACTTTAGTCTTGTAAACTTAGCCTTTTAAATAATATGTCTGCATCATTACGCTGGAAGGCAATGAAGTTGTGAAAGCATTTCTCAGGAAGTTCTGGCGATGGTTCGTTCCCATGTGCTTCAATTTTCTGGTACTGCATGAATGAGCTTTTCATGTACCAATCCTTTCTTTGTTTTGCCAGGAAATGCCTGCGTTACTTCTTGCCGCCACTTTGGCCAATGAACAAAGAGATGATCAATAACCTTAGCATGGAGGAGCTTAGCGATTTTCCACTGGACGACTTCTTTGATCAGTATGAAAAGGGACTCAGAAATGTAAGTAATTGTTAGGGGAAAAATTCTGTTGGAATTGCAGGCATTCCTGAACTAAGCGCATTATCAAATATGAAATTTTGCTTTTGTATTAGATGCTGATATATTTCAATATGAAAAGTGTATTTTCGTCTCGAGTTAAATTTCATGGTCAATACCAACACCCAAGAGAAGCTATGTGACGTTCAAATTATACCTTTATACAGCTTGTTGGAGGTTTCCAGGCAGAGGCAGCTGAAAAGGCCAGAGAGACGGAAGCTACCAAAATCAAACTTGGAGAATTGAGGAAGCTAATTGCGCAATTGCTCAGATCAATCAATGATGTAAGTTAACTGTTCTGTTTCAAGCTTTCACCCATTTCTTTTTACGATAGTGTCAAAAATGAAACGTTCAAGTGAAATTTCACTGCCATGTATTTCCATAATGAACTTACCCGAAGGCCATCTGGTTTTAATCCAAAGCAAGAGTAACCCTCAAAATGCTCGAGGATTATGCGATTAAATTTGGGTAAAGTTTCTTACCAAAGAAAAGGATTGTTTGAATATTTTGAGCCCAGTTCCATTGTCAGGGTCTGTCCTGACATATGATCTAAGGATAAATTGCATGTCCGTGCAAAGAGTCTATGCTTAGCACGTTCACGTCTCATAAGACATTCTCAGAATCTCAGTGCTACATCAGACAAATCCTGTCAGCTGCTCGAGAGGCAATCCTAGATCTGTGAAATCTGAATATAGATGACTAAATACATTTAGACAGCTGAAACAAGTGGCAAGGATGATAGTTGAAAAATCTTCACTTTGATCTGAAACTTCAGTGAAGAAAAAAAAAGTAGCTGAGCCACTCGGCAGAAAATTCTACAGAAGGCCTGATATTATTTAAATACAACCTACAGGCTTTTAATATCTTAGCCAATATCTTCATATTTACATCAACCAGCTTTATACCTCAATTGACTTTTTGGAACCGTCTCTTGTATGATCAGTGTATCCTCTGTTGTGTGTGTACATCGAGCAAGGGAAATACATGAAAGGATTTGAAGTCATAATTATTCAAACGTTCTGATTATGGTTCTTGCAATTTCCTATTCACAAGCTGGCTGTCTTGAATTGAAAGCAAGATAGTCTCTATATATTTTTTAAAATTTAACACGTTTTGGAACAGATGATGCACGAGGGACAAATGCGAGATTACCATCTTCTTGCTTTGATGGGTAATTCTAAATTACGGATGAAAAGTCATGTCTCCTCTATTGTCCGTATGAAAAACATTTGATAAAGTGAGGCGCACCTGTAATTATATCAACGTAGTTTGGCTCCTCCACATTTTAAAATGTTTCAATCAATGAAGGGGATTCGGGGAGCAGGATTCAAATGACTATCTCATGACTAAAGCACATTGAAGAAGTATAAAGATGGCTTGTTCAATTTCATAAATGCTGAACTACTTTTAAAATCTGTTTTGGCAGGAGATAGTGGTAAGTGATACTGCTGGGGAGGAGGTTGACGTCATGCTTGCAGCATGTGTCAAGCAGGCCATGCAAGACGAGTAATCCTCTCCAAATTGGGAGCAGGTGGTGAAATATTGATTGCTGTTGTGCTGTGAAGTTGCCAACTGCGATATGGAAATCCAAGACTTCAGGGTCACTGTTTCAGTGGATGTAACTTCACTTCAGTACAGACGCGTGTAAAGCAAATAACCCATGCTTGCCCTTTGAAGTGCCAGCAAAGGATAAAGAAGTTGAGACAAAGTAATGTTCCTGCTGCATGGTGATCACCAGGTTGCATATTAACTGTAAATGCTATGGAACGTCAGGGTGTGAGTTTGTTCACCTAGGAGGGGCAAACCTTTGGGCAAGTTCCCTAGGTCACATCCAGAGCACCACGTAAGAGTCAACTCATGACATTCTCTATCTGTTAAGGTGTGGTATTACTGTGCTGCTTTTGAGCATCCTGTTTGCCAAAGTGGTGTGTTGGCTGTTGGTGTTGGCCAGACATTGTTGCAATCATGTTTCCCTCTCATTCGACGTTTCTATTTTGGGTGGGAAATCGTGTCCAAATGTTTTTTTGCAGAGAGATGTTCTTTGCTTGTCTGTGAGGTTTTGTCAGATTCGTCTTCTTGCTTGAGGAAATATTTTATTTTGTTAAAGCTGGTTTTTTACATTCTTGCTGATAAAACTATTTGCCCACCACCAAGGCAAAATGTTCACTTATGTTGGCAGTTCTTGCTGTACAACATTGTTATTTTTACATTGTGACTTGTGTATTTCTTCAGTGGAAACATGCAATTCACAAACTTCTTCCAAAGTTTGCGAAACTATCGAGCGTTTTGCGAGCCAGTGAAGTGGTATCCAAGACGGTGTTAGATGCGACCAAAGTTTGTGGATAACAAATGTGAAGCAGTTCTCTGACGACTGAAACTCTCGTTTCAATCAGCTGGAATGGAATGTTTGGAAAGAATTTAAGGTTTCTTGACAAACTGTTCGAAAGGAATTCCAATCACAGCTGCATTCACATATCCCAAGATTACTAATTTCAAGGAACCTAATTACTTTATCTGCACCTATGCCGGAAAAGAAATCCTACAGACTAGAATCATGTCTACACAATTGTTGAGCAAAAACAGCTGTTATGAAGGATATCTGTTTGTTGTCGTTCCTCGTTGAGATAGTTATTTAGCAGAATTTGTCCTACCCGTGAAATACACTGTCCCCATAGTCTCATGTTTCACTTGTTTGGAATGCCAAGGCATAAAGTACATGTAGTTCTCTCTGTGTGTTTCACGAACACTTTAATTAGCTTTTCAAAGCAAAAATAATCATGTAGATGTAGAATTCCGTTACTCAGTAGTTGTTCAATTGTTCAGACGAACTGTTGTCTGTCCCTGGATGTAGTCTGTTGTGGTGTTTCTGAACTGATACAACGCCATTCCTGTTTCTGGTGCTGTTGCACTAAACGTATGTTTTGGTTATTCAAGTCAAGCAATACCGCAATGGTCCAGTACAAATCCAGTGCTTCATTACTCTTCGATGTTATACAGAGCAATAGCCATCGGTGAGCTGAATCAGTTTTAGATTTTGATCAGAATTCTTCTCCATATGGAATCGTTACATTCCATTTTCATACATGCTGATTTGTCCATTGCTACAAGTTTAGTTTTTTCCAGTACGTTTCTGCCACACTGATCTTTTTTTATCATGTAAGGTAATAGTAACCGTAAACTTCGAGTGTCAGAAATCTCTCCGGAGATGCAAGTTTAAGGTCAAAGTCCGTATTTTATTTTTATACCTGTTTTCTATTTATTCGAATGTTTTGGTCACATTTTGTATGATTGATTTGTAACATTACTTAGCCTCTTACTTAAAGCCTGCCGGCGTTGCTACAACAAAATCCGTTTGTTCATCGTTTACTCTTTAGCAGAGGGTCTACTCTGTGTACGTGAAGGCCAGTATATCGGACGAATCCGTGCATGTCGTTCACCCTATAGCAGTGAACCTGTGGACCTGGCCCACGGTAGCTGTTGTTTGAAGAAGGCATCCCCAAAATGCCTCGAGTGCACAGTGATCGCGTACCCGGATCAGTATTACGCAGTCGTTTCGTTAAAAAAAACAAATGTGATCCTGAAAACTGTCGAAGAGCCTCGATTTTTAGCCTTTATAAAGATATAGTCGTTCGTAACTACATGTAGTTTGTGCTGAAGTTTGCACTGTAATTATTGTAAATAAACCAGATTTGTATGACCGTCTTAAAGAAGTGTTATGGGATTATCTAACCGAGTTTCAAATGCGTGAGATGGTGGGCGGCACAAGCATAAAACGCCTCACCAACATATAAAACGACAACGAAATTTAAACAACTCAAACGGGATCTTTACTTCCATCTTCCAACTGAAATTTTATAATTAAACTTAACGGTGACTACAAAACATTAAGTACATGGAACCCCCGAGCCATCTGGCGTCACGCTGAGGGACATAGACATTGGAGGCTCAGAGTCCAGTCTTTTATAATATCCAATCCAGAAAGTGTTATATAACAAAACTATTGAAAGAGCAAAAGAATTAAACAACAAAAGGATTAGGGTACTCGCCCGGCCCAGGAATGGAATGCGGGCACTCGTCCGACCCAGAAAGGGAATGTGGGCCTTTGTCGTAACAGTAGCTTCCGGCGATTCAATTTCTCCGATTTTTTCCAGCGTCATGCAGTTCGTAGTTTCTATCCATAATAATGAGATTTGAAGCTTTTCGTGGTGGAGGTAGCAAGTTAACCTGCCCCCTCCAACTACACGTTGAGTTGGATGTATTCACTCCTCGTAGTGGGTGGACTGATTCTCCTCAGACAACTACAAGCAAACGTAATTTTCTCGGATGCATCCCGTGTCACAGTTTATCCACACCAGACGGTCGGGAAGAGGCTCTCAGATTTGGAAAAGCTACTACATATCAGTGTCCTCGACATGCAAGCGGTGTTCGGTGATCTCTAACATTTTAGTGGGCTCATGGCGTGCAAGGCTATGCTGTCTTCGTCAAATGTGGCCATACACCAACTACGGGGGAGGGGCACGCGGTCAGCCCAGCCCTGCCTCTTCGCATGGGACCTGGCTCCATTGGTCCCTGGAACCCACTCATCGCGCACAGACAATACTGTCGTCTCTATGGGAAAGATCCAGCCCAAAGAATGGACCTTATCGCTCCGCGTCTATGAGCAGATCTTCCTGACGATCGACCGCCCACTTAGACCTGTTCGCATTAGGAGCCAATTGCAATCACCTACGCCAATTAATTTTTCGCTGCAGACTGCCTGATTCTCAACCGCTGTGGCACCCCGGTGCTCTGTCGATCCCATGGACAGTGATAATTGCGTATGCGTTTCCTGCGATACCTTTAATCATCTGGGTACACAAAAATTGAACAGGACCATTGCAGAGTTCTCACCACCCCGTTTGTGATTCCTACCGTTAATCAATCTGTTGATTAACCCGCTAGTCATTCTGCAGCGTTCGGATATCCCGTTCCAGCCAGGTTTAAGCATTAATTCACCCAGCTTTCGATCGAGAGTCTTTACCTGACATGTTGGATGTTGTGGGGTAGCTGGCCTTCCAACAGAAGGCTACCACGTTACTTTGCGGCACACAGTCGTAGACCATCAACGTGAAAGGTCTGCAACGGCCGACTTCGACATTGTAGACAGAGAGCTACTAATCAAGTCGGTCGTAGAATTCTACGACCGACATTGGCGACTTCCTTGTCTACCTTTTCGGTTCCCGACGGCTCAGTAATATCTCAAAGTACCACGCCCTGGGCGGAATGTTCTCGAACGTCCCACTCATAAGCTTTTCCCTTCCTTGGACCTCCATTAGGCCTATGGAGGTCTATAGAGGAAGCTTTCACATCCCCCTCACGAACTCTTTTATACTTCTCTTATCAATGTCGCCTTTCTATTAGCAGCCGCCACGTCGCGACTTCAGAGAGAATTACATGCCTTATTGATCATGGTCATACTTGCTGGAAATTCTTCAGGAGTAATATTGGTCCATCCATGGAGGTAGGAAAAGCTCTGTGGTATGGCCCATCACACCTTGTTCCGTGCAAACTACCAATCAGACTCCTATATCCTCCTGGTATTTTCATTCCGGACATTCAATCCCACGCACTCAGCTGTGCCAGAAGATAATAATGGTGCCCAGTTTGAGCTCGGAAGTAGCACCTCAACAGGACCGAACAAATCAGGGGAAATGTGACGAGTCTCTTCATTACCTAGGTTCCTCCTCCGCTTCAAGGGGAATATTCACACGCTGGATCGTTACATCCAACTTACAGCCCGCTGATCGGAACTGGCTGACTGTCACAGAACGGGACTCTAGAGGTAAAGCACTCGATGTCATGGTAGCATCGACGTCGTTGACCTTATTCAAAGCAGTCGCGCTTACTGACATCTTTCAACCAGTGTGCTAGACAATACATTCATATCCTGCTACCTTCGGGACATTCCCCAATGCAAGGGACGCATTGGAAGAGCAGCACTACTAAAAGCAGGAGACGTAGCTCCACAAGCCACAAAAGCCAACCTTCGGCAACCTCGCTTAGACGGGAAAATATATGGGGTTGTGGTAAGTTCATGTTTATATCCCGTAGCATACCGTTGGCACTAAACCTGATCATTGACACGTTTATAACAACTTGTGCATTTACCATACCTTTTATCGGAGCTATTCTGCATTATAGTAGTGGCTGTACAGGTAAAATGAACAATGCAGCAGACTTCACTCGCCATACATAGCACTCGAGAAAGGGGGAGCGGGCTTGCCGCAGCTCAAGGTGGGTAGCCTATTAGGCCTACGCTTAACCTTTAGCGGATGCATTGCGCCTTCTAGAGACAGACAAATTGAAAGTAGTGACTCTACGGGCTAGTACTTACAAGTAGATGCCCCTCCCACATCTGCTTTTTTATAGGGAGAATTTTTATCCTCGGAGAAAGGGGGTCGGTCCAAAACGGGAAGCGTCTTCTCAAGTTTACATAATAATTCAATATCTTATAGGATGTGATTCCTATATCTCGATGAGTGTTCACCGGTCTTCGTTATGTTTTTCAGTGTGGGTGTGTGTTTTGTGTGTCCATTATGGCGCCCTCTGTTGCATTTGGAGAAAAAGATTGTAAGACTCAGGAAAATATCGCATTGAAAAACTGAAAACAAACATTCGTTTGGAGGCCCAGTGATGATTAGTCTTGATTCCAAGCCGTCCCTGAAGTATATTCCGTGATCACACAACGTTGCTGTTAGAGGGCGCTTTCTCCACATAAACCGCTATCATCGACTTAACAGATTTACACCACGCAGAATACAAGGACAGCAAGGTACAGTATTTTGTCTGGTCTGTGACAAATCTTGTCAAGGTGCATGAAATCCTGTCCTTATTACCTTCGTCGGATTTTATGAGGGCGATTTGCCCTCTCATCGTCTCTTCTCCAATCTTGTTGGTGTATCGATCCTCCCTTTATATTTGCTTTAGCTCTGGCTCCCCCATATAGCTTGGTCCCAAGTTCTGACCACACTTAATTTGAATAGCAGACCTACAAAGAAGAGACAGCGTTATTGTGCAATGAATTTGTTCCTCCACACTAGATTGCGTTCTCTTGATTGGGTTCTGTCTGCTTAGATTCAGTGATCAAAGCCAAAGTTTTCTCATTAAATCCATTGTTAAACACTGTGTTTGTTTTAAATTGTGTGGTCTTTTTGAGGGGGGTAGTCTTTACGAGGTTTTAGTCCTCTTTTTGTTGTTTTGTTTTTCTTTTTTAGTCTTTTAGTCCTTTCGGTTTCTCCGTCTTTATTAGTACTTGTTTAAAATATATATCATTTTTGTCCTTGTTTTTAGAAGTCAAATATTGTGTCAGAATATATCAGCTTCCTGTGACCTTTCCCTAAAGATGCTTGATTTAGTTAGAGATTTTTGTTGTTTAGCGAGTTTTCCTCGTTACACAAACATTTAACGACTGAAATAATAAACCGGCCAGAAGTAGGCACGAGAGGGTTTTTAACCCCAGATCTGCTATTCACGAGACGTACTCGTCAAACTCGTCGAACTGGTGGACGTTTAGAAAGCGTTAATTAAGCTTCATAGGTTTAACTACATGTACATACAAAACAATTTGTCCAAACTCTGGCATCAGGGAAACCTCCGAGTCTGACCTCTCTTATCACCTTCGCTGGTAATGCGTCAACTACCGTTCCTGCACGTGGATACCAAATTAGTGTTGCACGTATGGCGCGTTGTACCACCCGGCCACGTTCCCATTAAACGGGAATAACTTCGTAACCAACGTAACAATATTCTGCACAAACACCTCTCCAGTGGGAATGCTCACAGATTTTACCATTCTGAATAATTCTTTATAGCTACTGACCAGCTGTCGGATTGGATCACGTGCCCCCAGCGGTAGATCTGCTCCCAACAGGTTCCCTAGTTGAAAATTTGAATTGTCAATATTAGCCTTAGCCACGTTGCCTTCTTTAAAATAATGTGTGCTGCACCCAAGGTTCCCCCCCATAAATTTCACCCCACTTACGCGACTAGGCATGGGATCTCTACTGCGTAGCAGGGGTGTAGGCTATTTGTGTCGTGGAAATGGCGAAAAAATGGTCTAAAATTAATACAAAAGATATATTTTCACTCCCAGGGGAAAATCCTACAAGCTAGGCATATTGCCTCTACTGCATGGAACACAGCTGTGATAGTGCGAGGCATGGTGGCCTAGTGGTAAGGCGTCTGTCTCGTAAACAGAAGATCGAGGGTTCGAACCCCTCCCGTGCCTACCCCCGTTCTTATTTTGTTTTTAATAAACTAAAATGTTGCACCTAATGTCAATAATGTTCTTGTGAAATAAGCCTTTTGCGAGTTAAATATGAATAAAATCTGGTATACTCAGTTCACGTATGTTCACCCACCGCTTCCAGTGAGTTAATGCACGGGATTGTAGGGAGTCGCAAATGACGGGCGAGCCGCGTCTGGTGGCGTCTCCTATGTCTACGGTTTTGAATTTTGATCAAACGGTTAAAAGCCGTAGCCAGTGTTCGATACTAGTAGTGGATGTTGTGGTCTCACATGGAGACGCAGCACCGCGTGTTGCCAACGTTATCATGCATCGCGTACAACATAAACCGTTGAAAATATTTCTTACACGAGTTTTTCTGGAGCTATGCATTATATATATTTACAAAGGACACCAGTCATGATCTACACGATAAAGCGATATTAAGTCATTTTATGCAACATCGCGTCCTCAGAAGCCAGTACCAATCCTTGATATATCATAAAGCAATTTTAATCGATACCATTTAATCCTACTGAATTCTGTACTATTCGAATATCAACTCGACTTTCGGTTATGTAATGACTTGCTGTGACAGAATAAACTCACAGCGGGAACTAAATGGTAAGTTCTTGAATCTGGCTTTTAAAAAAAGTAGCAAGCTAGGCTTAATGAGAATCAGGATGGCCTTTAGTTCAGCGCTGGCTTCACCTTTATGGCAGTGTGTTTCAAATTATTGGGAAAACTCCGGATGCAAGAATATCATGATTTTTTTTTCTACCGGACGGCAGGGAATCAACGAATTGCACTGCTCGAAAAAGGCTACAGTAACTACTGCATTAGATTACTGCATAGCAAAAGAATTACATGAGACATGTCGTTTCCATCACAAAAGCTGCAAGTTTTGGCTTTCAGTTTTCGGCAACGATAAGCAAAACTAAGTGGAGGGAGTAACGTGAGTCTTTAAAGTAACGTGAACAGAACAATATCAATTTTATAAAGACACTGTTGCTATACCTTGTTATTTGGGGCAAGCTTGTGTTTGGTTACCTAAGTAAGAGACGCGTTGCACCAATACACTGTTTTCAACGGATAAGAAGGGCACAAAGGAACCAGTCCATTCCAGAGATAGTGGTCGCTATGCAAAACCTTGCCCCAAATAAATTTAGTCTGGGGAATTTGTAGGCTGAGTTGGGGCGGCTCGTTTTCGCGTGTTGACGAGCAGCTCGATTGGTTGTTCGTATAGTTCGGCCGATCGAACGCTAGACTTAATTGAATCAAGTCGGACATTTCGTACGTTGCTCTTCCCCGGTCCATGCGGTCAGGCCTTATCAGTACATGGTCGTCGTACTTTGTTCACTTGTCGCAGAGTGCCCAAACAGGGCGCTGGGAAGGGCTGATGACCTTGCACAGATTTTAGTGGCATGATTTGGTTTTAAACTGGAAACTTTGACCTGTTACAGGAGTGAATACTCCAGCCGAGTAGTTAATAGTATTACATGCACAAAAATTTGGGTTGCAAAATATGTAAATTGAGCAATAAACAGAATTATTTGGCTTTCTGTACGGTAGGCCTGAATATAGATTTATGCCTGAATTTTGGTGGGATTAATCGCGCATGTTGGAAGTTTGCAAGTATAATACTTGCAAGCAGGAAACTGGATGTTTTGCTAAATGTGGGTTTTCCCGGCCGAATTAGTTAAAACAGCATCCAAATTCATGAAAGTGCATTTACATTCGAGCAATTTCTCGAAGCCTGTTACTCCCAAGGTTGATCTTCGAAACTTTGCGCATTCAGTTTCGTTTGTGGACGTCCAATCATGCACTTTCAAGGATTCAGTTTAGTAACAGTATCATTCAATTTCACGATGCACAAGCGTCACTCGATTTCGTCCTGGGTGACTGGGAGGTGGATTCCTACCCAAATTTTACTTTCATGTCCTTCAACGGGCACTCATATTCGCAATGTTAGCTTTTCAAAGTGTACGTACCCTAAGTAATGGAGAAAAGATAGAGTTTTTGTATAACTATGATACGTGTACAGTTCCAGAGACATCTTGATCGCTGGCAATATTTGCTCTGGATCTTTATTATCCCCCACCGTTTCACTTAACATACACTTGTATACTTTTGTTCTGTTAAATGCTTATGGGGATAATATCGTGTTTTTATTTTTTTTAGTCAAATTATTTCGGATTACACGAAACCAATTTTGTTCTTTCTTTTTATAAATCTTCAAGCAGGAAAAATACAAATTACAAGATTACTGCTGAAAAGAATGAGTATTTGGTCTTTGTTTTAACAATCATTTAACAAGATAAGAAGAATTCGATCATTTCTTTTTCTCGTTTTAAGCAGAAATAAATGCGTACATTATAAACAAGAGGTTCCCCCATAAAAGTGATATTAGTGTACTGAGAGAGATTTTTTTCTGCGAGTGAAACCCTCTTCTTCATGATCGAATTTGAATAAATTAGTCAAGCATAAAACATTTCAAAGTTGTAAATTAGACTTCGATGAAAAACCTTGCACGGATGTCAGAAGTGCTTGCCTATTCACGAAATCACATGCCTATTGCGAGTACTACCGAATGACCGTTTGAATTTGATTTCTGTTCTTGGGGTTTTCTTAACTGAATAGCGACTCAAACTTTGATGTTTAACAGGAATTTGCAATCCCATGCTCATGGTGTTAAATTGAATGACTATTTTGGCTGATTGAATGTTGATCTGGATCGTCAATCAATTTGTGCTAAATTGAATGAGCCTGGCGTTAATTGGAGCGCCAATTGTAAAAAGTTGGGCGGGAAAACCTATATTATCGAAGAATTGTAGTGCCTTTAATGGAGATCAAAGTGTAGTGCAAACAAATGGCCTACGCGCGCAATGGTTAACGGGATGGTTCTCCCGCAAAAAACAGGAAAGCCGACAACAAAATTGAAGGGGGGGGGAGAACTCATATGTAGGAAACGGAAAACACTGTTAGAAACAACCAAAATGACATCGGCATTACGCACTGAGAGCAACTCGCCTGTCAAACAATTAAAGCGTGCACGCTCTAACGTCCTATGACGATGTCATTTCGGTCGTTCGCGAACAGTACTTTCCGTAGGAAACTGGCAAACCATCGGCTGTGGAAGTAGTCAAATCCTAAGTATTTTCGAGTAAATCGATGGTTTTCCTTCCCTGTCCTTTCATTTTGTTTCTTGCCCTTTATCTTTCCACTTTTCCCCGCGTGCCAAGACCCCCGACCTCGTCACGATGCCCATGGTCTCAAGCTTTTGCCCCTTACGTCTCCAAACTATCCAGACAGAGTTCTAGATGTTTAATGGAATAGCGTGCCTTTTTTATTGCAACTTAACGGTGCCTCATTCTCTTGACTGCAATAAAGTTTACAATTTTCCTCTCGACCTGATTAACTTAAAATCTGGTTAAACCCACTGAAATGACACCTTCGTAAAATATAATTCGCCCCATGGTTTTTTTCATGTAATTATAGATTTTTCCGCATACTTTCAACTTCTTTTCAAATTTATAAACGGTAAACTCTGACTTTTGAGAAGAGTGGTACGCGCAAATTTGACAGTCATTTGATTCAGATATGGAAATGGTTATGCATACTTTTTAGTCATAAGTTAAGGCGTAGGCCATCTCCATCGTATGTTCAGCAATTGCAGACGGGGACATTGAATTTTGTTTTCAGAAAAAAAATATGGTTAATGTATGAATTTGTGAAGACAAAAATAAAAGTATGACGTGAAAACTCATGAAGATTAGAGAATTTAATTGTCTATGGTAAAAGTTTGAAAATATGCGGAAACTTTATAATTCCCCATTCCATTGCATTTACCATGTAGTCACTCAAGCTTGTCTTCTTTTCCATATTAAAAAAAATACTTCAAAATATTAAGGTGGCTAATCTTCCTCAAAGCGCATTCGTGTTGCGTCAAATTGCTTGTCGAATCGAAGAAAAGATAGGAATTAAACATTAGATAATGTCATTCTGCATGTGATTAGGCATATATAAGAGATATAAATTGAACTAAAACAAAGAAACAGATTGTTGGGGTTTTATTATACTAAACACTAATTCACACTAAACCAGTACACCATTTCAACATTACAATTTCTGAATATTAACCACTGATTGATAAAAAGTGACAGCAGCATTCTTTGCAAATGTTATGTGATCTTCCACGAGATGTCACTGAAAATAAGATACCCAGGATTTCAAGACTGGATGTAAATAACATAAGCCAGTTATTTTTCCATGAATTATAGCCCACCAACTTATTATGTTATACTTTTGAATTGGTCAAAATTCACTACCGCCACCATAACTTAAACTCAAGATACCTTTTGAATGGCACGCAAAAGATTTTATGAAGCCTTTCGGCGCTCTAGGAGGCACAGTACATAACTTGCTGCCCGCTCATTCTTAAGTTGGAGAATCTGTCAGCCAACGTAACCAAAGCAACGGGTTTGGTGCAACCGGCCGGTGCGACATAACCAGTAGAGAAGTTCTCCAAGCAAACGGAGAGATGCTGCTCTGTGCCAAGCTCCCGCCCTCGGTAGTCGGTGGCGGTGCACAAACGGAACGATTCTGACGCATCCTCTGTAAATTGGAAATGATGTAACTTTGCCTCCAAGTCATTACCAAAAAAGCTCCACCGCACCCTCCACTTGGATGGCCAGAGTCGTGATAACAAAAGGGACCACATTTATCTGTCTGCGACAAGTAATCATGTTTGCCGCAGTCTTCAGCCGGCTGCGCTTGTGGACCTAAGCCCTATATACTCAAACCACTAAGCGCTTCCTTTGCACCTTTTTCCTGTGATTGAACGATCGTGCTGGACCCGTGATGTGTTGTGGTGGTAATAACGCATAGTGTTGTGATGGTAATTAACTATTCAAGATAAACAACTCAAGCATGCAGCGTTTGCACGTGCTCTTGCGCGTGGTTGAAGCTGCCCGTAGGAATATATGCAATCACCGTGCCCAAGGCGGTCCACACCTGGTAGTACTATTGTTTACATGTGGGTGAAAAAGGTCTATAAAACCCATCTTCAACCCCCCCCCCGTGCGCCCGGACCCACAGAACTTGATGGAGACACCGTGAGTTTGCTGTAGTTGGAAGTAAATCTGGCGTGAAGTTGAATTATTTCGTGAACATGTAAAAGATACGTGGAACTTGTGCCTGTGGAAAGCTTCACTTTATGACGTCGATGTCAATGACGCATGCTTACTAAGAGCATCGCTTGAATTAAAAATAATACAGACCCGTGAATTCGCTTCATACTGCAGCATGCGTCATGATAACAGGATTTGAATTAGAAATTTAAAAAATATGCATTTCGTTCAAAAACCTAGCAGATTTTGGGAGATTTGAAAGATAGATCTTCACATGTTTTACCTGTTAGATGCCCTTGTCTCTGTGAGGATATTTTCTTCATACTTGTATCGCCATACGCGCAACGAGACTGTGTATCGACCACGGAGCTATGGTAGGCTAATAAGGGAACGTGCTTGGCCGATCTAAAATGTGCGTTTAAGACCGGGGCCCAATTTCATCGCGCAGCTTACCGCAGAATTCCTCGCTTACGATCTCCATTCTGCTGGGTAATCGAACGCTGCAATGTAGTCGCCAAGGCATTCTGGGAAAAAGGTCAAGTCCCCGCTGCGTTCCATCATGCACGTCCATCCGTGACGTCATTACACTCGGGCAGTCTCCAGAAACCCGCTCGCCAGCTGGGGGTAGTAGTGGCTGACACAAGGGCATGCACGAGGATCACGTGATGGCTAAACGAACGCTCTCGTCTGAGTTTGACTTACACGTGTAAGCTAATCGAACGCATGCAATGCATGTAACTCTATGTGCAGTGGGGAGGGGGGGGGGTAAATTGAACACTTACGAACCGGATGGGCAAACAACAGGCGAAACGATGAATGACAGCGCGTTTATTATACGCACTACGCGCAACGCACTAACATTACTTCCAAATTACGTTCACCTTTTCCGCTCTCCGATACTCTTATCTCTTCTGTTCAAATGTTTCTTAATACACACGGCACTTTATATTGTTTGGTTGGGTTAACTGGAAAAGTTGTTTTAAAATGAGAAAGACCATGGGCGTATTTTCTCTAACCATTCTCCGACTCAACGGTTCCCTCACTATTAACATCCCTTCAACAAGCATGTTGTCCATAAGCACGCTAATAGACTTCGAGCTGACCCCATTACCTCCCAATCTTCCAATCTCAGTGACTTTTGGCGTTCCGCAGTGGTCACTCCCTCAGGCAAATGCTTTATTGTTAGCTCCACCCAGTCGCGCCTACTCCCTGCAACTTGACCATGTATTAACATTAATGCCCGCTGAGAAGTGATAATACCCACTGAGTAAAACACAAGCTGGTGCCTGGATACGAGACAGTTTACTCCATTGATCAATGGTTTACTCCATCCCTATTGGTCATGAGTCTGCGTGCGAAGCAACACGCAGAACGCGCCACACGCGCGCCAAGTCTATGTACAAGGATATTCTATTGGACAACTTCCAAAAGGAAGATACCGTAAATGGACAAGGGTGTTCGGGAAATGAATGTAAGATTTTAGAACATCGTTGGAAATCCATCAGATGTCGACTTTTGTTGACTCTCTGCACAAAAGGTGTTTATGAACTGGAATAAATATGTGCTTAGCCGGTGACCTTGGTCACGTTTAAGACCGGCCAAGCTCATATTCAATAGACTCACACTCTCAAGTAAGCATTGTGAATCAATTTTGTACTTCAGTGTCCACTGTAAAATGTAAGATGCAAAGTTGGCAGAGACTATACTTCTTTCCGGAAGCGATTGAATGCCGAGCGAAGATGCTTCAGACTCACCTTGAGCGAAATTCAACCGCCATTCATCATCTCCCTCCAGCTGGGTGAGTTGGAGCGTATACGGGTTAGCCGTATACTCAACCGTGTCTGTACAGAAGATTGGAAATACGGACGCACATCCTACGTTAATCCTACTATGAAGCCTTGTGGTTAGTTCATATTACAAATTACACAATATTTTAGCCGCCTAAAGACACGGTAAATCGGCAGTTATACGATCCTCTCTTTGTATGTTCTTTGAATACACATGCACGTCTTTGTATGCGATATCATACAAAGACGTGCCACTCAACCAGCTATCGATGAGATGTACATGTATGTAGTTTATCTCACATTCCCGAACACAAACTGTTCAGTCGGGCTTCCTTTTCGGCTCCCCGAGATTTGCCAGAGAAACTACGGAGTTGCCTACAATCCGGGACAGATCTTGTTGCCCCCTCCCCTCACCCCACTCCCCCCTTTCCAATTGGGTCTCAGTGTGCGGTCCAGGCTCTCCGGTACTACGTGACATCGACAACATTGATTGAGGGAGTGGGGGACCTGAGGAGCATATGGCTATTGCCACGTGTCCCAACTATGGATCAAGGTTGTAGGTTGGAGGCCTGTGCACAGCTGATCATTCTGGGCAAGTTCGAGCAACGTCTATAGAGCGACCACTTTTCTATACGGGCGTTTCGCAATAGTGCGCCTCCAAGAAAAACATTGGGACCCATTTTCATTGGGACCCATTTTCGTCCGTGTTTTTTACCTTACGTGGTGCCCATTTTTTACACTTTTGTCGAATTCCCCATCGATCATCAGTGGCACTGTCTGGAGGACTGATAATTTTATTGTATCTATCAGCTCATTTTTTTTTCAAGAGCAAGAGCCATTTGTCTGAAATGCGGTTCTTTTTTCATGTGTATTCAAATTTCCGAACTGGGTTTGGCAGCGGTCAAAAATGAGCTGTCCGGATTTTGGGCATGGTGCACACGTACACGCACCCACACACCCATTCTTGTTCCTTCGTTCTCGTGTACAAAACTCCAGGAACATGTTTGAGGGGCTTGTGGGGTACTGGAACAATGGAAGGTACCCCACAAGGCCAGTTTTGACCCTTGTGGGGTACTAAAGTGGTACCGCAATGAATTTCACGAAATAGATATTTCAAATTTACTCAAAAAGGAGGAAGTGCCATTCATGTGTCGCAAAATGAAGTAAATAAGGGACGTTCGGTCGAATTTCCAAAGTAGGAAGGTGAATCTGGTTCAAGTGGGAGTGATTTGAAAATTTTTGCCTGTTGTGTGGGATACGAGTGCGTTTGGGTACGAGTTGGCCTACTGCATTGCACGAATACGTACAATCACATCAAATTGCCCGACTAAAAGGCACAAACAAGAACTTTTCGTTTTCATTCATACGGTTTCCTTCTTACATACTTTCTCATTTGAGTGTTCATGATATTCCTCACCATTCACAAGTAGAGAACTATCAGGGAAAACTGATAAAAATCCCCCCTAAAATGTTGGCTTCACTTCCAACTTCTGACTTTGTTACTTTGAAGGTAGGCTACGTGTCAAAGACGGGCGAAAATTTGGCAGAAAATGGAGTTTTATAGTGTTAAAGCTATCAAAAGGGACTTTGAGTGTTCAAATTCTAATTGGTAGGGAAATGAGGGGCAAACAACTTTATCTGAGCTTGATGTTGATCGATCACTTTTGGGGTTCACCTTCCCGAGTCAAAAGCCATTTTACTGGCTTCTGGCGCTGTAGTCGGATTCAATGCGCATGCGCACTAACTAACTAAATGAGGGTCATGAACATACGTGCACTAAGGCCATACCATCGCACTCAAATGACTCCAAGCCAATTTATCTAATTTTGCGAATTCCAGTGTCACATTTTGCAGCTGCCCGCCACTCCCCGTGCAGATTTGATTAGACCTGTTTGTTTCACATGGATATGGACCTGGATCATTGATGCAACGTTGGTTCGTTAACGTCAGAACCCATCGTATGCATACAGCGAACCAGTTTTTGGATCACTGATCGAGATCAACATCTATGTGGAACACAGTATAGGTCTCTGCCTGTTTAAGGGGGGTTAGGTTGGCGTTAATTGTTTGTCATTCCTCGCCTTTTTTCACGTTTGGCACGGGCTCGATTCCGGGCTTCGTCCACTAGGCCTATACCTGATTTCTTGGGTTTTACCCAGCATAAAAGTTGTTCTTGGTAGCCATTTTTCTTGTAAGAGCTTTTGTTGCACAAGGATACACATGAGTACAAGTACTATCCCTCCGTAACAAAAGCAGTTACCGGACAGATGGCTGCCATGCACAGCCTCTATGCACTGTAAAAACAACGTTTACTGTTTAAACACGTTTCCGTCAGTTCCCACCTTTCCAAACATTTAACACATGTTTATTGAAATTTGTTTACTAGGAATGTGTTTGAACGCTAAACGCTTTTCCAGAGTACATGTTTAGCTTTTTGAAAACGCATAGCATTTAACCATTCCTAACGCATAACAATAGACAAGTCGTGGTTAAACGTGGTAAAACAGTAGGTACGTGTACAAAAAAGTGTTTAGAAATGTGTTTAAACTCTAAGCATAGAATCGTTCCTGTCCCGTACGTACTCTTTAGATGTCAGAAATGGCACCTTTCTACGTGTACGTTTTTGGGGTGCGTTGCGTACACGATGCGTTCATACGTTTCACTTTCACTGACACTCACACACTCACAAAAATCGACCCATTAACATATTAAACAAAGGGCGCCTTTACAGACGTCCTCCCCAACTTAGGGCCCGGTTGCGGGTAATAGACCTGTTCACTAATAAATTAAAATTTATGTGCGCGTGCGCATGAATGGCAAGTGGCGGTAAAAGGCTTGAGCAGCCCATTGAAAATGTGCGGGGGCACAAATTTCAACGTCATTTCCTCTCAGCTTGCACTTTTCTCACTTCTGTCTTTTGAAACCCTCTAAAATCATTTCGGAAGCTGGCGTTATACTCTCTTTCTATAGGCCTATGTACAGCTCTATCTCTGAGTGACATAAGCGATTGTCATGTGACTGACTGGCTTTCAGCCAATCGAGATACAGAATTTGTGCGTGATGAGGTATTATAATTGCCCATCATCGTCTCTGGGGTTTTTTTCTTCTAGTGGAAACCAGTTTATGAGATTTACGTACGCAAGAAGATTTTTCCTCGGGCGCGTGCTACAAAGCATTGTTCGCAGGTGCTTCCATCGTCATCACACGTCATGTTCTTTGTGTAGTAGCCCTGTCAAACGAAATGAAAATATCTTAATTCATACGCCTGTTACTAACAAATTCAAAGTTTCTTGCTTTCTGATATTGACTAATTGAAAGAAGTTAAAGGAATCAGGAAATAGAAATATGTTTATAAATTTTACTAAAACCCCTTGAAATTGCATCTTTGGGTTTCAATTAACCTGATTTTAATTTTTTGTTTTGGAAGTTTAACCCATATTTTGATACTTTTTTGGTTTTAGTGCTAATGCAATTTTTGCATATTCATGAGCAGAACTATGATGTTATCCAAGGCAGTGAATCTCAAAGTTGCACTGATTTGTGCACAGAAAACTTCGAGATTAACAATAACAACTGTTATGGCAGATTCCATTTTCTTTGGCAATTTATTGCCGTGTAAGTATATAAAAGGCAATAATCCAGCAAAAATCCTTTTCACAGAAATGTTCCCAGAAAGCAAAGTTGGGATTCACATTTTGAACTTGAAAACACGCAACCTGAACCATGCCTTCCTGGATTTGCATCAAAGCAAAAGCGCCCTCACTTGTCCAGAACTGCTTGGTCAATTTTTAATGTTTGGAAAAAGTACACCTTTTAGTTCACCCAACTCAAACACGATGTCAAACAGTCTTCATACATGGGAGAAGAATACAGAGATACACAAAAAGTGATTCTAAGAAAAATTCATTTCCTGGATCCTTTAAGAACACTCTTGCGAAGTACTGAATGAATATGGTTTCAGGTATTTTCATGGAAGGAAGCAATTCTGTAAAACAGTTTTGTTTGTTTGTTTGTTTGTTTGTTTGTTTTTCTTTGAAAAAATGGAGGCTTCTAAGTTACACTCACAGAATGAATGGTAAAATGTTACACAAGTTTAGAAAAAATATCGCCAAATAGATATACGCAACTTGTTTTCAGTGTTTAATTTAGTGATTATACACGAGTTGTTTATTTAAAAAGTCAAGATTTTAGATGGATCACATAAGCTTTGCAAAACACATGTACTTCCTAAAAAAGTCATGTGTTTAGTTTATACATTCGACAAAATGTGTACTACTCAACTGAACATTGTGCCTTAATTCCCAATTATGTTATCAACCAATGGGCTGGATGGAATAAGAAATTGAAGAAACACTTGTTGGAGTGTGGTTTTGATCATAGGAGCAACTGGAGGTAAATAATAGATATTAGATAATTAGATGCTATCTAAGGCGTTATCTTAGATAAACTATCTAAATTATCTTAACTCCATGACACTTTCGAATAGGCAGTCTCTGCTGAACTATGTTGAAAAATGACTCTGCCATTGACGCAGTGCGAAATTCTGAAGGCTTGCAATATATACTTCGATGGTTTTTGACGGACACACTTTTTTGGGTTCTTACGAGTAAAATGGTTGCCTTCCTATGAGATATGTTTGCAGAGACTTTCCAAAACCTTCTTATTCTCATGCATGCATAAATTAGATATCGGAGGAAAGTGAAACATTTCTGTAGGCCAAGATCTATGCACTTTTTTTGGGGGGGGGGGTAATGTTCCTTTCAGTCTCCGGAGAATCAAAACTCTGGAAAAAGTTGCGTGCGAACTTCTGGTGGACTCCAAGCATTCTGTGGGTCTATACTCCACCATTAGCATTTATAGGGAAACTTCAGGCATCGTTCACTTGTTTCTTTCCAGCGCTTGGCGTTTGTCTAGGCCGACGTGGTTGTTTAGTGTGTAACCTTCGTAGGTGGCTGACATCACTACGTAACTTCACACTACACGTAGACCTATTTCTTCACATTACTACTTCCTATTCCTATAAATCCAGTCAAACTATACTTCGGAGGGCTCGATGTTAGGGCTTTTAGGTTAATTTGTATAAAAACGGCATAATAGAGTTTTACGAAGCAGATTATTCTCGATTACAAAAAGGGATCGTTATTGGGCTGTACGGTTGGTTCTTAGCTTTGTAAGTTCGTACTTTATAGCTCCGTAATAAACGAAAGCCAAATCGTGCCACTGGCTGAAAAAAAGTGTGGTCAACTAATTCGTGATCACAAATTACTAATACGTTACTACGAATTACTCAATCGTTATTACAAGACCGAAGAAATGGAAAAGAAAGGACGCCTAGCAAGAAAACGACAAAAATAGCACACATGGTTTAAAAACGATGGGAGCAAGACATCGATGTTTGTTGACTCCACCCCAATGGACAATGCACAAAGAAAATCACTAGGGTGTTCAGGGAGACCGGCCTAAAAGTAAAAGTGATCCAGAAACGTGGTGCCACTACGAAAGAACTTCTGATAAAAACGGACCTCTTCGAGTCACTACAGCAACGTGTAGACAGTTGACAGCAACGTGAAGACGGTTGTCACCAATTGTGAAGAGGGGTTGCATACAAAGTGGAATGCAGCGAATTCAAAGAAAAAGAAGGAATGTATATTGGACAGACAGCTCGTAACGTTCAAGAAAGAAAAGACGTACACGTTAAGAAATACGAAAGACAAAAGGAAAGAATACTGGTGGAGACCAGGAGACGCCACGAAGAGACAAGTCGCAGAAGAAAACCGAAAAGACGAGGGGTGTAACTCCCATGACTGATCCAAACCGTCTACGCTACGTTGCCAAGACACACTAGTTACGCACGACAACGCGCCCGCACACCAGGAGAGGAACACAAAGCTGCGTCATCAAAGGATTCATTCAGAGGCCTCGGAGTAGAGGCGAAATAGGTTTTCCTGGCCAATTTCGGAAAATGTGCCAATGAATTAGTAACACCAGCAATTCGTTTTCGAGCGAAATAGATCGAACATTCAAATAACCGTTTCTGTTTAACAAATCCAAATTCTATTTTAAGAAGGGTGCATTCAGTTGTATAGAGTTTTCTGATGTTGCACTGGTTAAGTATATTGACATTCGTTTTTGCGCGAAATCGAATGCACCTCTGCAATCCAGCATTCATCTTGATTTGATCTCAAGCTATTATATGCGGGCGATTTCGCCTGTGTGTCATTTAAGGTATATGCCTGGTCGAGAATTGGAATTCGTTTATGTACCAACAGAAGTTACATTCTTAGAAGTATTCTGTCGACTGGTTAAATGTTTAAATATTCATGATTGAAATAAACCATTTATGCTGTCATTGGAAACTACCGACTATTGCGGGAAGCCTATCAACACCGGCACAGAGGGAACCTTCCTTCTTGTGCTGCTTTCCAATCATAGAAACTTTTTTTACAGTTTGATAACAAACACACGATAACCATTCATGAGAAACATGACATTTTATTACCAAAGTAGTGTCATGATTGTAACCTTGTGTATTCTAATAAAATTGAACGTATATTTTACGATTTTAAATTACACTGAGCAAATGAAAATGAATACTCACTTCCGAAGGGTCACAGTAAAAGACAGATTTTCAGCGAATAAGAATACACATTGGCATGGAATACGTCAATCCAAAATCCCAGTCACGTATTGTAACTTCTTTATTGAAACGTAATGCACATTCCTTTATTTGAAGGGTGCAAAACGAAGTCGAATGCTTGTAATTGCGAAAAAGAGAACCAGGTCGTTTTCGAAATCTACGCTAAATTGAAATTTTATCTTACAAATTAGATCACGCATTTTCCAAAATTGGCTGGGTAAACCTACAGGTATTTGACAGAGTTGGTGACTCAAGTCATGTGACTTGGACTCGAGTCGGACTCGAGTTGCTATTTTTGTGACTTGTGATTTGACTTGTAAATACCAGCATTGACTTGTGACTTGACTTGGACTTGCATAAATTGACGAGTGACTTGACTTGGACTTGCATAAATTGACGAGTGACTTGACTTGAACTTGCAAAAAATGACTTGTTACCAACCCGAGTCAGACGCTACTCGACCGGCTCCATATATTATAACTCGTATAAACTGGTAACTTCGTAAGTTGACACCTGGTTCTTTCTGCTTATTACAGCTGGACAAAATAATGTGCAAGTTTACTTGTACTTGGACAAAGAGACTTGTGACTTGACTTGTGTTTAGACCAAATGACTTGTGACTTGACGGCAGAATAGGACCTAATGACTTGTGACTTGACTTGGACTTGCAAAATGTGACTTGCTGCCGCCTCTGATATTTGAACAGATATAAAAAACTAAGGTCTGCAGCTACCATATTAAGTATGAGTAACTTAGCAGTTGGGCGGACCGTATGGCACAATTTGACCAATGCGACAAAAATAGCAAAAGGTCACATCAATATGCATTAGCATAATAATTATGATCATATGGATATGAATAGAAATGAGGTGTAAGGTAAAATGTATGGCACAAGATGACCTTTTGTAAGGGATTGGCTTAGCATATGGTCAGAAAGTGTGGTACAAGATGACCTTGCGTATGGGATAAAAGATGAAAAAGGCATATCATGGGGTAAAAATATTCCGCACAATTTGACCTTTCTTATGAAATAAGATGATAAAAAAGAGTTGATGAATCATAGGTGGTGTGATGTCACGGAAAAATACATACTGGCCCACCAGGAGATCCCAAGGTAATCAAGGAGTAGGAAGCGATAATTCCTAAAGAAATCGCCGTACGTGCCTCGGTTAATGAGAGGGATAATCCTTAGACAATGGACTGCACGTATTGGGTGGGCTGTACATTTGAAGCAAGAAGCCCCCCCCCCCGCCTTTGTGTTGGTCATTGTTTGATCGGAATCTCAGGAATTGTTTACAGACTTCTAGGGGGATGTGTATAGGTAACAATAGTCTAGAGTGTGTATAGGGATTGGAGAGGTAAGGGGGGTACCCCTCTGTCCCATATCTTGCCTGGTATAGGGCTGTGTCGGCGGACTATCGTGATCATATTGTGTACGTTGGAAGTGAGTGTTGGCCTGACTTAATCCTTTTGACACTAAAGGAGAGAGGGCACTAACATGCTAACGGTCTTGCGTTCGGCTTACTATGGCTACCAAGATCTGATCGATTTTCAACCCTGCTGTCCCTAGCTGAATTTCTTAATCCTTTGAACTAAAGTGTTTTACGTCCCGTTACCCTGAACATGTATATGGTTTTGGCTCTGGTTGAATTTTTTTCAATCTTTTGAACTGGTGTTTTACGTTGGCTACCCTATACATGTATACGGTTTTACAAATTCAATCAGAGCGAAGCGTTACTGTTTTTCTTTATTGTGGAACGTAAATGTAAAATACATCGTTATATAAATATTATGAATTCTTGGGGGTGGCATGACGTCAATTGGGGGTTTTTAACACATAGCAAAAAGGTAAAATTATTAGTCGTGCTGTGGAATATTGTGCAAAAGTTTCCGGCCAGTACCTGACCCGAGAATAATTATTCGATAATCATAGCGGTAAGTAAGAACACCAAAAAAAAAATCAATGGACTTCAATACCGGTGTCTGGTAGGCTGGTACTGGTACTGTTTTATTTCCCGTTGTTCGTCATTGATTTTTTACAATAATTGTCTTAGTAATTTTAACAATTAAAAGAAAAGTTGATTACCAGAAGTTTATTCGATTTGAAATCAGAGGAATTACATGTACTCACTATTTTTGGAACCATTTGTCTCTACTGTTATCTTTTAGGCATGCTCCTCTTCGTCATTTAACTGAAACAGTCCGGCAAATTTTTTAGTATGTTTAGGCATGATTCTACCTCCATGGTTTAGGCAAAACTCTACGCAAAGCTTTGTTGACTTTCATGCCTTCATCAAGTTTTCCATCGAGATTATCCACAAGGTCTTTGTGAGTTTCATTATCCCTCAAATATAGTTAACTTGATAGGAACTCCTTATAGTTGTCGAAAAAGTCTAGCTTGACTGCCCAGATCTAGAGGGTCTGTCTGTTTGCCTTCTGCCTGGCTTGATCTTCATCCATGCCTTCGTTGACGTACTTTTCATATTTTTCACCCCTCATCTCCCTATTTGTTTCTATGGCTTCAGCCAGCTAAGGTGGCATTGTATGGTGGCATGGTAGGTGGCATTGTCTTCAAATTCTGAACTGTTTTCATCGAGGTTTCGTCATCAACCTTCTCAACAGCTTCCAAGTCATCGTCAACTTCATTCGTGTCTGATTCCTCCTCAACGTGAATATTTTCCATGTGCCTCTCTAGATTAGACTTCCGTCCAAAGCATTTGTCACACTGCTGGTGACAAGGACAGTGCTTGACTACAGAAATACATTCATGTTGACCCCATGTTGAGACTTATTAAGTTTCAAAATTTTATTGGACTATGTAGGTTGGTTTTTATCTTGATGATATCGTTCCGTACAATAGCCAAGGTACTTACTTCCCCTAGCTATAAAAAGAGCGATTTATACGACGAAAAGAGCAAAAGAGCAATAAAAAGAGCAATTTATACAATAAAAAGAGTAATTTGAACAATAAAAAGGGCAATTTATACAATAAAAAGAGTAATTTGAACAATAAAAAGAGCACAAAAGCAATAAAAAGAGCAATTTGAACAATAAAAAGAGCAACTTATACAATAAAAAGAGCAAACTGAGTAAAACAAACAATTAAATAAGCAAATCAGAAGCAGTGAAATATACAGGCGTATATTTATTATATATTGAACGATTTCATTTGTTTTGTGTCATTAAAGGTCATCCTTCCCAGGGTCAACATGAACGGTATTTCTGCCCTGTCCTTGTCACCAGTGTGACAAATGCTTTGAACGGAAGTGTAATATAGAGAGGCACATGGAAAATATCCACGTTGAGGAGGAATCAGACATGAATGAAGTTGATGATGACTCGGAACAAGACCGCTAGCATGTGGGCGCCCTCTGTACTTTAGTGTCCAAGGATTAAGTCGACCAACGCTCACTTCCGACGCACGAAATATGATCATTAACACAAAGCCCGCCAATACAGCCCACCCACTACGTACAGTCCTTTGTCTATGGATTATCCCTCTATAATATATTACCCGGCCGCACGTACGGGCCTAATTTGTTTAGGGATTATCGCTTCCTACTCCTTGATTACCTTGGGATCTCCTGGTGGGCCAGTAAGTATTTTTCCGTGACATCATACCACCTACGATTCATCAACTCTTTTTTATTATCTTATTTCATAAGAAAGGTCGAATTGTGCCGAAATTCTTACCCCATGATATGCCTTTTTCATCTTTTATCCCATACGCAAGGTCATCTTGTGCAACACTTTCTGACCATATGCTAAGCCTATCCCTTACAAAAGGTCATCTTGTGCCATACATTTTTCCTTAGACCTCATTCCTACTCATATCCATATAATCATAATTATTATGCCAATGCATATTGATGTGACCTTTTGCTATTTGCGCCATACAACCCCCCCCACTTAGTTTCAAAAAGATATCGACTGATGGCCTTAAAATACTGAATTAAATGATCAGAAGAATAACTAATTCGTTATAACGAATCACTATTTCGTAATAACGAATTACTTATTTTTTATCGACTCCGAGAAGGAACAAAGGGGGGCGTGTTTTGAAATGCCAGTCGTTTGGTACCACAGTCGCACTCACTGCATAGGCGAGCGAGTTTATGCGCGTTTGATGCGGAGTACGCCGAGTACGTGCAACCAATTTAGTCTGCAATGTATGGTCTTCGCGTGCACGCCGAACATGAGCAAGAACTCGGTTGGAAAACTTTATTACCATCTTCTTTCGCCGGTATGGGTGCACTTTACACAAAAAAGTACACGGATTCATATTGTTCTCTTTGGAAAAGACGGATTTCGATGAAACCTATGCGCATTAACTTATTGTGTTACTGCCTCATTATTTTTTTCTGGAGTTCTGTCATATCCTTAAGCAAAGAGAAGACCAACAGACCCTGAAAGTTGACCGCTGATGGCGAACTTCTGGAACCCTTGCATAGGAAAAATAACGTGTACAGATTTTATAATTTACATTTTTTCGTTCAGTTTCTTCTTACAAAATCAAACTCGGAAAAGGGGCTTTAGAAAATATTTGGCTATAGTATATCAATTTATAGAACTGCAAAATTACCTGATCTACAAAATATTTTACACACTTTTATCCCGCCAAAAATTGACCCATCACTTCCGGAAATCTAAAATACATAAAAACCGTGCAATGCGGCAGTCTCGTACGCAGATGTACGTTTACAGTTTAAAATTTTATGGTAGTCTGTGGGTAGAAAGCCGAAATAAAAACAGACCAAAATATTTTACACACTTTTATAATTTATTAGGTAATAAACTTCAAGCAATATTCTACTTTTACGAAACAGATTCTAATATTTTATCTACCTTTTGCTGACAACAACTGCGTGATGTCAACTCAACGGAATCTGGAATCCATCGGCTGCAGGTAGGTAATTAAATGTGCAAGGTTGTACAATCTTGTTTCCACGAAAGCACGGCGAGTGAAAACAAACTTGCATGAACAAGGAGACGGTATAATATCGCTGGACGTGAAAAGTCGTCTATAAAATTCGTTTTTTATCCATCTCCAGGTGACTTTTCCAAAATATTACTTGAGGAAGACAAAAGTAAAATTCCAACATGAGTGTTTCATAGGGTGGTTGACGTTAGGAATTATTCTTCCAAAATTTATCAAACATTATAAGACGGCCCAATGTAAAATCCCCACGGGCACACTGCACAGGATTCCGGAGGCTCGCTGGGTGACCTTTTACTTTCAAAACTGACACCCAGTCGTGCGCGAGTTACCGTTTTCACAAAGAAATTTCCAATGTGCGCGCGCAGTACCGAGTGTTCGTTCGTGAAACCGAAGGTTGTTGACGACGCCGTCATTTGGATGTCTTCATTGTATAACATTCCGCAAAGGCCTGATTGAAAATGTTATAAATTTGTCTAATTTATTAACACATTCACAAAATGAAAAGGATTCACGAACACCTCTCAAATGTCCTTTTCAAACAGATACCAACTACACGTGAAAAATATGTCCTTTGTTAACGGTTAATTCCTCAAAGTTCAACTAAAAATGGAACAGAATTTGTAAGTTTCTATCGTTTGAGTAACGTCATCATGAGCTGCACTCCTCCTATTGGAGTGGCATGGTTATAAAGAAAGGTTTATCCCGCAAAAAATACGTGGTTTAGGTTTTTATGATTTATGGTGTTTTTACAGAAAGTGTCCAAAAGTTAATACCAGTATTAGGCTACTCCGACGAGATGCTATGACGTGTACCTCATTTTGCGTGTTATTCAAAACCTCTCCCTATTTTATAAACTAGACTAAATTTCTTGAAGATTTGTGTCAGGCGATTTCACTCACCATATTGCCGTAGGTACGATCATCACCTCCATCTTTCCAAAGACCCTCCGACTTAGCAATAATCAAGCACAAGATGATAGCTGCCAATTTCAACCGCGCCATGTTCCCGAGTCAGGACCGTGTTTGCTTGTGTCTACTAGATCTTGCCGTAAACAGTAACGACTTTGACTTCTATGGTTGCGTTTTGGTCAAGCCTTTATATTCGGTTAGTAAGTGATAGTCATACACGATGACGCACCACTGGTTGCAGGCTCCCATTGGACAAACATTAAAGTTCAGCATTATTTTCCGGTCAGTGGTTCCATGTAATTCTACGTGCAGTGGTCGTGCATGGTTTAAACTGAAGTGACGTCACACTTACGAACCGGATTATAGTCGCGTGGGGCACCTCATTTGCCGGGAGCACGGGGAAAAATTTAAATAAATAAATGCAGGCACCATGCGATAAAAATGTCTGCTGATATAACTAATAAACTAACGTGTGTTGCATTATTAACCATACCTTCTCTGAATGTAAATTATTTACTTAATTCGTTTACTGCCAACGGCAAAGGACATCTGTTGAATTGTGAGATGTGAATACCAATTTCCGTCCAAATGCTCCTCTGTCAGACACACGATGGATTTCAATTTCATCTTCCTGGCACTAAGTGAGTTCACTTTTTTCTTCTGCCGTTAAATTTGTTCGTGTATTTAGTTCACTGAGAAGTAGCTATGATTGAGGAAGCTTCAAGCAAACATTAAAGCGATAAGTAATCTGTTTTGGTTGCATACAGTTTCAGTTTGCACATGTTCATCTGACTGGGACTGGGATTTGACCCTTCCCTTTTCACAGTGAACAACCTGGCTAATAATTTTCTTTGTGATGACATTTGGGTGTCATTTAACTTTGCAAACGGCGGAAAGTAAACGATTCGTTCTTCGAATACTGTGAATCACAAGGCCAGTGTAGACGGTAAAATAATGCCAAAGTACTGTCCGAGGGCACAAAATTTAAGTGTCCCCTTCGTGCGTCTGCAGCCCCAAGGTAATTTTTCCCGCGCCTCGTATCTTCCAGCGCTTGGTCTCGACCACAGAGATCATAATATTTATAGTAAAGCTAGCGGGGTCAGGCCTATTCTTGTACGCTACAAGTTTGCCAGTGTGGTTTATTGCATTACATGTCGTCGCTGTGGTAAACTGTACATTAGAGAGACCAAGAGTGGCCTTGGTGACCGCTTCGCGGAACATTTGCGCAGTGTGCGCCAACAAACGCAAAAAGCATCATTTCCGAACTTGGAACGCTGCATCCAGGGGAATGAACGTGGATTTTTCCGCTTTCATTCAGAACTGAATCTGCTTGCCCTGAAGAAGGTACTCAGTTACCGACAGCTCGGCAATCACATATTTCATAGCACTGATTTGATTATATTCTCGTCGATATTCTGATCACGGTGCTACGCAGCCCTTTCATATTTACCTGGTCTCACTGTTAAGCAGTACTTTTGCGCGCCGCCACATACTTTCGGTGACGTAAGCGTCTGCATCCTGCGGAAAGCGTCATCCGATGCACGGCGTAAGGAACTGGAGCACGGCGTCATTTTCGAACTTGGAACCCTGCATCCAGGGAGAATGAGCGTGGATTTTTCTGCGTTCATTCAGAACTGAATGTGCTTGCCCTGAAGAAGGTACTCAGGAATACCGAAAGCTCGGCACTTACATGTTTTGCCCTTAAATGGTTTAAATTCATTAACTTCACTGTAGGTCGACAGCCATTAATGTTTCACTGCCTGATGCCAAAATTTAACTTCACCGTGAAATGGGGGGGGGGGTGAAGAAGGTACAGCGTTTCTTTGTTATGTACAATGAGTATGGGCGTGCATTGGCCACTGTACGTTTTACCAGAACATCAATTTGGAAAAATATTTGCAGACATGCTAAGCTCTTGGTGAAAAAAAAAATCAATTTTGAAAAATTATGGAGGCTACTTCATTCGCTTCAAAAACTTTGAAATTGCAGCAAAGTACCCACATCCACTTATTTAATGCAGTAATCATCTAATCCCTTGACCTTCCGAGTTCGACTAGGCAACAGCGCCTATATTACGGTTCCCAGCCAGGAAACTTAACAAAACCCCAGTAAAAACAATCATCACAACACCTCAACAAACACCCAATTATTGTCATTCTTACTTCCTTACTTTTAGGACTCCTCTTCATTTTTCATTCAACTTTTGAACTTCAATATAAGGTGTGCATCAATCCAACATTAACTTTGGGAGTCTTGGGAGAATTTTCCTTTACGCAGCTGAAGAATCTAGGAGTAATTTTACGAGGTCATTGCTAGAAAATGTAAAATAAGTTGTGGCAGTTGAAGACATAACGATGTGTATTAGCATTAGGCAGTGATGTAGTTGAGTCCATGTAATCTAAGACCAAGCCAAGAATTTGATAAAGAATTGAACAAAAATTTGCAGACAACAGACGCATGAACAATTTTCCAATAGACTTCATTCGAGTCGCGCGAGTAGTCCGGGTCGGTAATTAGCCAAGCCTAAGCCAAGCTGAGTCAAAATGGCACAAGTCCCAAACTAGTCATGAGTCCCAAAAAGACCAAGTCTGCACTCGAGTCCTCCATCACTGGTATTAGGATCGTAAAAAATTAAAACTCTTTCAATGAAAGGGGTGTTTGCTTAAGATAAACCTGGAAGTCGATGTAAATGAGCACGCTTAGTTCAACTTTAATTTACAATAAATCACAATCAATGATTTATAATATGTGCACTGGGTGGCTTCTGTAAACAGTTCACATAGGACATTTTTCGTGGTGTGAACCCCTTTCAACAGGAATTCTGACAGCTTACACAAAATAAACATGTGGTGGTAAAAAGCAAAGAAGGGTGATTCTGTACCTAAGGACACATGTCAGCTGCCACAGACTTAATGACAATACAAAGATGCTCTAAAACATTCAAATGCTACGGAGCTCTAAAAGTGCCATCCGACTTGATAAGATCCTGAGATTTTTTTCGCTGGATGACAACATAAGACAGGCAAAATGTCGACATCCTGAGATAATTTATCATGAGATGATGACATCGTTAAGGTTTAATGAAGACATTCTGAGATATATTATTATGTGATGACGACATCCAGCAAGTGCGGTGTCTGCTTTACATAATTTATCTCAGGATGTCGTCATCCAACTTCAACAATGTCGTCATTCTGTGATAAATTATCATAGGATATTTATATCTTGCCTGTAGGATGTCGTCCTCCCAAGAAAAATATGTCAGGATCTCAACAAGTCAGATGGCCTTTCTAGAGCTCCGTAAAATTCATATGTACATGTACTTAAACATTATGCTATATAGTTTTTGAGTTTTGATATAAACAGTTAATTAAATCTCTCCATTTATTTGTGTATTTACATCTATATAATCTCCACATTATTCTGGCCTTCAATAACAAAACATCAATCCAAAATGCAAATTTATGGTAATTAAATAGAAAATTCCGAGATGTGGTGCAGTCAGCATGTAAATACCGTAACTGTCTTCCTTATGCTGTCAATCCGCCAAACCCATCATCTCCATACTAAACTGAAATTGAACTTCACATTGGCTCTAAAGATACAATGCAGATTCCAGCAAATCCCCCAGGATGAGTGAATTCAAAGTGGCAGGAAACATTACCGGACCACTTTCAGAGTAATTCATAATTTTTGATCTGCTTGCCGCCATCAAAGTGTCTTACATGAGCCTGTTTACTATGAACGGCATTCCACTCAAAGTATTAAGAGTTGGCCGTTTTCATACGGGTTCATTTGAAAACTGCAATCATTGCAGGAGACTATCTGGTTTGATAAGTCCAAGTGCCACTCTTAAACACAGAATACAAACACACTTTTGATAACATTTAAATTTTAAATCTAAAACGCCTGTCTTGTTTTCATACAAATTGATACAACCTGTCCTTAAAATTGGTATATTGCAAAAAATTCAATTATTTGTCCCTTAAATTTCAAAGACAATTGCGAGTTATGTATAAAGTGTATGACTTTTAATACACGTTTCAAACAAGTTACTGCCAAGATGGCGATTACATGAAGATTCCATTTGTTTGAATGGACACGGTGAGCGTTACATGTGTCTCTTTGGTCAAAAACACTGCGGTTGCAATCAGAAAATTGGTCTGCATGACAGATAAATATCCTACGAATGGATTGGGAAGCACATTTGTCATGGTCCTACTGGTACATTACTTTTCTTTCATTGACACAGAATGTGACTGAAACAACACGAATCTATAATTAACAGATACTTGATATTATTTCATGATCAAAATTACACGTACACTATTCTCACTGAGAAAACTTGCTACAAAAATTTGAGCCTGACAGGAGGCGCAAGTGCTGCAGTACTGCTCTTCTAACCGACATCTCTTGGTTTTGCCTCATCGATGTGGAAAGTTGAAAACACCTCAATCTAGTGTTGAGACAAATTGTGGGTGGGTGGGGGTCAACAGTGGGGGGGGGAGACAAAATGCAAAGGAAGCATGCAAACCAGCAATAGAGGAAAGTGCCAAGGATGTAACAGGAAGGGGGTGAAGGGTGAAATGATAAGTGTGATGGACAGACAGCATGGCACATGGGAGCATTGGAAGACACACAGTTGAGAGGCAAAGATGAAGATCATCACATACAGGCATGGTGACAAAGAGGGATGCATAACCAAGAATACAAGGAAATGGATCCAGTCGGTTGGGGTGGTGAACGGGTTAGCAGTTATTTGACCAGTTTAATATAATTGATTAACCATGGCATCAATTGTCCGGCAGCCGGGAACCAACAACACCAGATACAAGAACAAGTGACCACATAAAGCATTTCACAAATTGACCAGTTGTGCATAATCCAACAGTTGCAGAAAATGTGTGTCATTGTGTAGACATTGTGTCATTGTGTAGACAATAGAGGGTACAAGCACAAATACAGAGAAAAACAGAAGAGCATGTGTTGTATCACAGACAAAGGGAGTGGAGGTACATTTAGGATCAAAAAGAAATTTGGCACAATGGGAAATGAGGGGATACATGTATGAAATGTTAGGTTGTCAGGACAAGCAGGAGTGGACGACAAAGAAGGTTGTAAGATGGATGATTGAACAAATGCAGAGGTGGGAATACAAGACAGAGGGGTAAGATGTGACAAGTGGGAGAAGCAAGAAAGCAATGGGTTAGATGGTGCACTGAGATAGTCAATGAGGAAGCTCAAGGACCCAAAGATAATTGATAAGCCAAGATCTCAGTGCTTGGCTGGTCTTAAACATCATTAAAAAATGGCTCAGGAAAGTGGACAGGACTAATGCTCGAGCCACAGGTGAGGGCATTATCAACATTAGTATAAGACCAGCAAAGCACATATTTGTTCCCATTCATAAATACTTTTATTCGGACAGTCAGTTTAAGTTAAAACTCCAACAACTTTGTTCAACAACTTTACTTGTTTTTAACACCCCTCTAGTCCTGCAATGGCATGTGCCTGTCACAAGTAGTTGTTTCCCATTCTCCTTAAATGGAGATTGGCAAGAGTGCTGCTCGGACTGCCTGAGGTGGCGCAGAATGCGATGAGGCAGCCAGTGCTTTATCACTGGTTTAAGACTGGCTTGTGAGAGGCTCTCGATCAATAGGAATGGCCAAACTGTCTTAGTTATTAATGAATAGCCATTCACATACACCTCAGACAGGTTACCCATTCCTGTTGGATGAGAGCCTGTCAGGTGGGTGGTTTTTATCTGTTTATATAACAACCAATGGTTAAGAAATCATTTGCCATTTTGACCCAGATTTAATAGACTGTAACCCTTACCATGACAATCACTGACTGTCACAGGCATAGGCAATATAATCAGTGAGTTAATATTTCATAGAGTCAAATCACAGTGTGCGTTGGGTGTTCGTTTCCATATAAGGAGATTAAGCACTGCGCACAAGAAGCACATAGCACAGATGTAGCTAGAGGGATGTTTCACAAAACGAAAGTTAAAACTGATGAAAGGAGTTATTGAAAAATATAATTTTTCAACTTTGCCTGGACATTTACAAAAACAAAGTACCCTGTATTTATGAATGGGAATAAAAGTGGGCTGGAGCAGTTTTAAACACGTGTACGAAAAAGCGGCTTGGTGTTTATGGCCTGATATGAATAATGGACTTCATCTTGGGCTCAGACCATGGAGCACCAAAGTGTGATGTCAGTTGCCATGGTGCTGGTTACTAGTTGGCTGGTCCAATGTAAGAGCACTGGGATGAAGTTGAGTGCCTTCAGTGTTGAGCTGTTACCTTGGCAACTGACAAAAGATAACCTATCCCCTTCATCCCCGGCATGCATGGCCCCAATCCGGTTTGAACCATACTACAGTTTGAAATGGCGAATATAAAGCCTACTTTTATTCCCTCAATCCATCACCTCATACACATCCATTACCTTGCCCATTGCTCACTATCTGGTTTGCCCAGGCATGCAGAGAAGCAGCCTTTATCTACCAGGTACCCGCTATGCAGATTGAGCAAATTACATGTAGATGCAAAAACATTGGGCACTGTTTGCTCAAATGTCTGTGCATGAACACACCATGTAACCCAATGCAGAAGTGTGCATGAGGCGGAGTAAAACAAGTGTACCGTGAATCAACTATGGGGAGATAGGATAGAAAGGTGTATTACTCCCTTTGACACTGTGAAAAATCTTGTGTCAATGCCTTTCAACTCCATTTCACAAACTATTCAAGTCAAGTTTTGGCATCTCAAAAAATATCAACTGCCTGAACCTCTCTGATATAAAAATAATGATTTTATAAAGATCTTTTTGGCACTAACAAAAGCTAGGAATTCAAAGGGCTGATTTAGAAATTAGAGCTTCTTCTTATGTAAATCAAACTTGCATTATTTGGCACATATATGCCAGAGACTCACTTGTGAAGTGATTTTAAAAGTGATTTAGTGATTTTTGTCTTTTTTTTTCTTTGGTTGATGTACATGTATGAATACAAACTGGCAGAGGAATACAATCCCTACAGGGACTCTGGTGAGGAAGACAAGAAATCAATGAACCACAAGACTAAACTAATGAAAGATGAACCATGAATAGAAAAGACTTCCAAATAAATTTGTGGGATACAGACGAGTTTAGGAAGATGGAAGTGAGCAAATTCTTGGAAGTTTGTTTCTAAGGAAAGGGATTTCCATGCAAAAGTGGAAATTTGGTCTTGCTCTATAACAATTCACAAAAAAGAAGTTTAACAATGCAATAACAGTGGCATTAAAGATCTTGGTACTACTTGTTTCTACCATCTTTTCTTAGAAAAAATCTGTTTAGTTTCAGACTTACTTAGATGATGAGAAGGTTGGTAATTAATGTGGCTAAATTTTCAACTTTATGTGGAATTGCCCAGAAAGCTATGTTTGAACTAGGCACATCAGCATTCTGTGATGTGGTTGGTCTTTCAAAACCTTCAATTATAACAAATCAAGCTAAAAACCTGAACTCAGATTTAATTCAGATCATAAAATTGTGAAATAAAATTTGAAGCACACTCCAGTAGAGATTTCCTGCAACTGACAGACTACTTTGTCTGAAATCACATACAAATTCAAGTCAGAGTCTGTGTTATAGACAGATATCTAAAATATTAATAGCACATGTATTGTCAATAAAAGTAAATACAGCCTCTTTTGCATCCAAATCAGAATATTTGGGGAACATCACCCAGACCTGGCCCAAAAGACCTGAGTCTTTTTACGCTCTGTCCAGTCATTAACTTCTCAAGGTTGTTTGGTTTTATTAATTTATCTTTTTTTAATAAGCGTGCATAATATAAAGTGTGCATAATATATGTATAAATTTGACAGACCTCTGTCCAAATCTCTCCCGGGATGCATGATAGGTATCAATTCATATGCACACGTAGCGAGGACATTGGCAGACTGAAATTGGCTCTCTCAAGAGACAAGTGTTTTGCAATTCAAATTGGAAGGTTTAAGGAACGCTAAGCTTCTAGGCCTACATACTGATGATGTGACGCTGCTTTACATGTGCACTTCTTTGCGGAGCCAGTGGGGGGGGGCCCAGTCCACTGAGCAGCATAGGAAGGCACAAATGCGTCAACAAAGTGTAGTGTCATCAGTACTGAGGTCTATTCCTGAATCACATGATTATGGAGCCGCAATCAGAGATGGCAGAGAGTAAATGAGCATTTTTGACAGTGTAATAGATGTACAGGTTAATATTGTGAGATGAGGACTTTCAGTGGTGATCTGGGTGAAAATATTAGAGGGAAAGTTTGAAGCAAATGTCAAAGTGAGCGGATGAGAAACTGGGGGAGAAAATTGGGGGAAAAACAAGAACACCATGCATTAAAACCATGCGGCTGAAATCGGACGTAATCTATGGTTCATGTTACCAATGCACATGTATTATTACATAGGTGAAGCTACAGACTCAAATGGATAAAGTAAAATGGCATACAGATGAGAAAAACCTGTAGGTGAAACAAATGCAATTGTCGTCATGTTCTAATATAACGTTGCTGGTGATTTGATGATGCACACATAATGCCGCAGTTTTCACCAGAACACTCTCTCATTGCATTTACTTAGTATCAAACAGACAGACTTGACGCAAGGCACAATATCACAGGTCACATTTGCACAAAAATCTCCACAAAATGGAACAGAATATATCCGAGCTAAAGGTCAAGGTATTTTAGGGTCAGGATAGAAGTTGGGTTGATATGTGACTTTTTAGGAAAGTTTCCCTGCCAGTCTTTGGCACAGAATTCAGGGCACTGAGCGGAGGCATGGGGGGTTGGACTAACGCCACATCTCATCTTTCTTTACCTTGTTCTTAAGTTCTTGGCAAGTCTGAAGGGCCACTGTGAACAGCGTCAGGGCTTCTCCCAGCCAGGGGACAGCACAGTTCACTGTGTACTGGCCAGTCACTTCATACTTCAGTGGGCCCAATTCCCTGAGAGACACAAAGGAAAAGAATTAGCCCTAACCCCCCTAGGGTGTATGTAAAATCATATTGAAATCAGAGGATTTGGGACTGTTAGGGCTGTGGAAATGAACTACAAGCACACAATATCAGCAAACTCCAAGGGAACTGTCTTTTTTTAAAATGTTTGATGTTGCCACTGACTAGGGTTGTGCCAATTATTTGAATATTCAGAAATTTAGTTCAATACCAAATATTCGAATGGTTATTTCATGATCAAATATGCGGAGGTAAAAATCAATACAATAAAATAAGAAAAACTTCAATTATTTGGTGGAACAATTACATTTTAAATGCATGCTTCAATGCATTATGAGTAAACTTCAACAGCTAAATGCATATGCCCAATACCATGGCTGGGATTAGTTTTCTTTCAGGTCCATTAAGTTTCTGTTTTTGTGGTAATCTGGTACAACCAACTAATTGAATATTTGATCAAAAGGAAGATTGATTATTCAAATATTGAACTAGCTGAATTTTACTTACAGATTTTGCCCTCACCCTACGTATTTTCACAATTATTTTGCATGTATACCGGTTATAGTTTAGTGCAGGACAATTTCCCGCTGGTAATGGCAAATGGAGCGTTCGAAGCAACTGGAGTCTTGTGGGTCATGGCCGGGGGTCCAAGGGCCAACTTAAGGGGATGCTAGATTGCTTTTTCAGTGAGTTTTCTTTCGACATTGATTAAGAGTTCAATTTTTAAAAGGTCTTCCAGGTAAGGGGCCACTCAAAATTGTCAATGTTTTTTAAATATTGATCTTTTTTTTTCGAAATAGTGGGTGGGTCAAAGAAATAAAATGAAAATCAAAATTCACTTTTTATATTAAAATCCAGAAAATTTTATTTTTCCTGACTTGCCTAAAATACACCTAGCGTGTGCACTGTGGCCGCACCAGCATTCCCAAATGCAATCTTTTTCAACTTTGTTTCCATATACAGACAGGTTGACCTTGCCTGTACATTATTATGCGCGTGTGAAACATCATGGAAGGAGGTGGTTTTTACTCTTAGACTTGGAAGCTAGGTGCTTGCAGCGGTGATCAATAGGCCACATAAATGTAGCAGGGTACCAGGCGTATTATATAAACCTACCAGTACACACAGTGAAATGTTGAACACCAGTTGCTAATAACGGTGAAATGTTCATCACCTTGAATCTAAGACTAATCAGACAGCAGCAAACAGCATCCAAATCAGTTAGCTAGACCTAGGTCTATGTCTCTGTTCCGATAGAAATACATATATGCAAGTGCGTGGAGACACGGTTGACTGTAGGCATAGCCGCAGCTTGGAAGGTCCATTTCTGAGCGGATTGGACATGGCATGCCGTTGCATGCGTGATCGATTGCGGTCGTAAAAACCAACATGGCTGCTACCATGGACAGACTACACGGATCAAACAATTTCAGCCGGGCCACTCTTCTACTTCTTTGCTGTGGGGTTCATGTCACATTCACTCATGATACAATACCTTCCGGCACCAAATGCATGAGGTTCGGTAATCATGACCAAAGTCTCTCTTTGTTTCCTACTTACAATGTGTTGGCAGGGTTCCTCTCAACTGCTACAGCTGAATGCTTACTCTGTGGATACAAAATATGAAAGTAGAGAACTTCAATTCAGAAACTCACTGTATCCTGCACAAGTGCAAAGAAACACAGTAAACAGTTTAACAAAAGCAATTACAGATACATGAGTAAAGACAGCTGACAGGTAAACTATGTGAGTTCCCATCCTTCCAAAACAACCTGTTGAGTAATGCAGTAACCCACAAGTCACGGGTCACCAGACTTGGGCAAAGGAGGGTCATTACACCATAATGTTTGTAGTGGCAACAGTGTACATAGAAGGGTGTCTCTTTGGTGATCCATTCAGGAAGACCTGCTTCACTTGACATTTCCAGCAGTGTGCTCTTACACAACATTCAGTGTACATGAAGTTTACATGAAGGGGAATCGTCACCTAAGAACTTTGACTCACAGGGGTATGCAAGTTTGCCATTGCCTCTGAGGAGTTGTTCAGAAAAATCAAACAGCCAATTGGGAAAATTACACGTGTAGTTTTTCTGAAACGTTTCGTATGGAGAAGAGTAATTGATAGTGTTTTCAATTTCTTTTACACCGATTCCTAAGAATGAAACAATGTAAGGAACTCACCGGTGTTCTGGTGGCATGCACTGGATGTAAGAAGTAGGCACACATATTAAGCTTGTTGCCTTGGACATAAAAATCTATAAGTACCTCATTTGGCAAGGGTGGGTTGAATGCTTTCTGTGAATTCAAATGGAATTCAGTGCAAGTGATACAGTGCACGGTCAGTGACAGTAAAAGGCTCCTTTGATTTCTGGATGCCATGTATTTGCCCGGTGTTTCAAGTGCTTTGTGTGAAACTCTGTGACAAATGCAATCTACTCTAGATTGGATTACGTACAATAATAACTGCCAAGCATGGATGCTTGGGGTTTGGGAAGCACAGCAAAACTTGATACTTGTGGCTGTTCAAAGTGATAACATTTTGGTTAATAAAGCCAACAAAATTCTACCACGAGAAGCAGTTCCTTAAAAATCACAAAAATCCTTTGAATGAGATTATGCTAAAACTACTCCATGACCCAACCTAACAATGACCACAGTGGTTTTCCTTTTTAATATGAATGCCACAGTGTGAACACAGCCTACAAATGTGTTCAACACGTGGTCTATCAAAATGAATAAGCTTGCATGGTGCTCCCCCATATTAACTTATGGGGAGTTGACAGGTGACTCCCCTATGGGGGTGTGTGCAATGGGGGTATCTGCAAGTGACTCCATTTGGCCCCTCAGCAGTCACAATGTAGCAGGGCATCACTTTAAATCCTGCATCTGTTGGTTTCATTATTAAATGACCTTTCATTGGAAGAACACTATAGCGGGATCCACTCACCAAGCATTTGCTGAAGTACAGATCATGCAGTGTTGGGTGGATGGGATTGAGGAGTTGATGTCTGCCTTTCTTTAGCTGATTCATCACCTCGTCCATCAACTAATTGTGAAAAATGACCCCAAATGACAACAGTTTAAGTACAGTCTGGACTACGCTTTCATAATCACATCAAGTCCACATCAAGACTCAACTGAACTGGCAAACAGACGTCCACAGACGTTGACTACATAATTTGAACAGCTCATTCAGACTGCACGAACACAATGCCCTGCTGAGATTTGGTTACAAACTGGTGCAAAGAAAACATCTGCTTTTTTTAATTACATTTTTTGTTGTGGACACTAATACACACAAAAAAGATGTTTCAGAGACTACAGCATACATTTCCTAATGTCAGGTACAAAAATTCTTGCCACTGAAGGTCAACAGATGGTGAAAAATGCAAACTTGTGTATATTTATTAACAAAAAATTGTGCAACATGCCGGATTATTTTTATTTCCCTAATTTCATTTATGCAAGATATACATGTACACTTCAGGCCTACCACCTCCATATGGTATTGGATTCTTGCATGTACATGTAGAACGACATGAAATATATGTACATGTACATGTATTACATTTTTCAATTGGCAACATACAGGAATAAGAGCATACTCACAGATCACACTGCGAATTGAGAGTAAAACCAAATACCGACCACTCCTGGTCTTCATAGATCGGTTTAGCATTACTGCCTCTGTATGCATACCACAATTTGCTAAATTAAGGCCAGATTGTCTCCATTCTCTAAAAATCAGGCCATATAATGAGGTCACTATTAAGGGGGACAATCGAGGTGTATGTTACCTTTGTAACCTCGCTGCCTGTTCTGAACTCATAATCTAGGTCCATCCTGCAGACAGCATCCAATGCTGTGTACAAATGATTACCAGCATCTTGTACCTGCATTATCATATGAATAACATCAGCCATCATTTCATGCGACAATTGTGCCACTTTCATTTTCATTATTGTGTATCCATAGATGCATCTGTCACCCATAAGACACCATATCACCCATTTTTCTTTTTTTGGGGGGGCAATATTGAGTATCACACTGCATCTTTTCATGCTGTAGCTCGTTATGAGAGAAACCGCTTTATAAATTCTGCCATTTGCTACAAACCAAAAAATCTTGTAGTTTTACCCACATGCCTAATACTTTCAGATAGCAGAAAAGGTGAAATTGACTAGGAATTAGGTCAGTTTTAGTACTTCATTCACACCTGTGAATCATTACACCTGCCACTTGGATTCATTGGTACTATAGTGTAAAAACTGCAACTAAGGCCAAACTTTGTGCCTCAAATCTTTCACCTTTGCTGTATGCAAATAGAACAGTGACGCACACTACCCTCGTGTTTGGGTAAACTCCACGTTATGGAACATAAATCAGCTTAGTACTGGGCAGAAACACACCTTTCAAATTTTGGCCACTGCTCCACTGTAGACCTCTCAATTTCAAATGACCCATAAAATGAATACAAATTAGACTTTTAAAACAGCCAAAATTTGCTGCTTCATGACCGTTTTGGAAGTGAGACTTATCTCCTTATAATGAAAACTTGTTTGTTCTGTTTTCCTCAGTAATACTTTTATCATTTATCCCGACTTTCTCATGCAAAACTTTTGCCCTGAGTCCCTAGCCATTATGACCAGCAAACCTGTCATATCATGCAAAGCTGAACCAGCCTTAACAAGTGTTTAAAAAGATCCATTATTTCTAAGCCACTTACAAATGTACAAACATGACAAAAGATTCAGGTTCTAATGCACAAAAGGCTAACTAGTTCCTTTCCTACAAACATACATGTAATGACAAAGATATTGATGGATAAAACAAGACAGCCCATGACTAAACTAAAAATCAAAGTGAAATATCCTTTCAAACTTCCACTTAAGAACAACAAGTTTGGTGAATTCTTCAAAATTTTCTATAATTGCACATTGTACATGTACATTGTATGAATCATTTTGAACACTGCATAGAGGTTTGTGTTTCAGATTGGTTTATGACTGGTTTGGCTTTTACCTGCTGAAGTTTCCATGGAATATCTTCTCGAATGGATGTCTTTGCCACCTGGTTTGCATTTCTGTGCATTCGTAATGTTAGCTCCTTGGAGGCAAAGAAGATAAAAATGGTGTTTATTTGGTCAACGGCCTAAACTTCATTCTACTGACTTTTGAATCCTAAATTCTCTAACGAGAAGCCATGTTAGTACACTGATAAAGGACGTTTCCCATGAAATAAAGAAATACAGCAAGTACATGCCCAGTACTACCACTAGTTGGCAAAGCTGCTTAAAATAATGAACAATAAAAAATCTCCGTGCACATGTAAGTATTAGCACAAACATACCATTTCTGTACTAGTATAGTTTGACATGAGTACCAAACTTAAAGACCAACTCCAAGGATATTGATTTTTCTCATATTGAATCCTATTCAGAAGAACCAAGTCTAATAAAACTGGCACATATCAATATCTCCCTTGCAACACACGTTTTTGTGTTAATAAAACACAGTTTTTGTACTCATTTTTCCTGGGAGTCCAGTCTGCAGTTGTACAAATGGACATGTAATCACAACTCATTAACAACTAGTGAATATTAATTTCTGTGATGTATTACCGTGGAGAAAAATTACCACAGTACGCGCGCTATATGCGTGCATAGCACCCATAGCTGCAGACAACAGCACGAACTTGAAGAATGCTCTCATTCTTGGGAAATTTGAAGAATTTCAATCCTGGTTCTTTCGCAGAATTTTTTGTACGTCCACCAAGACCCAAGATTTGGGCATTATTGTAAGTCATGAAGAAAGGAGCACAAACTCTCGACCGAAAAGAGATAATGAGGCACAGTAGAACCTGCACACAGATCGATCCCGGACACACGGTGCACACACATGGAGATCCATTTTTATGTACAGTATATGTATCTTCGTAACACAACCAGTCGTGCTACTGATACCAGTTTCAATGTTGTCTCCGGTATTACATCATGCAAATTTCATTTCTCAACAGCGCCACCGGTGGTCAGATTGTGGAAATTTTTCATAAGACTCAAAGACAACGTTCAAAAGTTTCGGCAAAATTACAAAAAATACAGATGCAATACAGACATGATTTGGTCATGAATATATGATTTATTAAACACTAAATGCAATAAGAGTTTATTTTCAAAACTTTTGAAACAGTTGGAGTTGGGCTTTAATGACAAGGAATTGTTACTTTCTAACCTCATGACACTGGTAACTTCATTTAGTTTGGAGAAAAGTCTGGTGTATTGGAAGCGGGCTGTAATACAGTTTTGATTGACCTTCAAACAGCCAGGTTAATGGTTACAGCAGTTTTCCTACACTGCTGACAGTCTTGACGGCTGCGCTTGCCAACCAATGGTAGTAGTGCAGATGCACCTGCCTAATTTGCATATTTGATGGGAAAGGTACATTTCTCCACCTTCTGGGCTTACGGCATGCAACTCAAGTCAAAAAAAAAGGAAGGATTTGAAATAGCAGAGGATTTTAAGGAGGTTTTGCCAATCAGTAGCACAGCATACTACACAAAACTGACAACTTCGAGAGGGTACATAGCAATACTAACTCCCCAAGGTGATCAACGAAGCATTCTCAATAACATGGTGCGTTCACTGCAGCAGTTTTCAAAAGCAATATTGAAATGTGCTAGACATCATCTCTTCATGACTTCAGTGTTTTTTCTGAATAACATTAACCTCGAGATTGATCATTTACTTTTCCGCATTCCTCATTACCTAATGTACACTGTACAGGTACTCTCTGTGTTAGTACAATACGCATCAGCTGTTGCACAATGTGCAGTTGAAATGCTGTTACTGTTGTCATCTGACACTGCCGCTCAGCCATTTAATTACCCCATCACAAGACTCCGCAACAACACATGGCTTCAAGAATGTTGTAATAAAGTCAAAGTCCATGTCATGCATGGGGCTAGGCTCCATCCACGTGCATGGTGCAAATGTATATTCATGCACATGTTCATACTCTGAAGTACATGTACACAGAGTGGCATTCCAGGAACACTGTAAAGTTATTTTGTTTCACAAGTTTCAAACAGCGTTACATTAAATGACCAATTACATGTATTTTCAAGCAAGGGTTTACTTTTTCATAGACTGCAGTTTTTCAACGAAATCATTCAATCATACAGGTACAAGTACATGTAAGTGTGTGATTTGAAATCTTTTGCACTGATAATAAACGAATAGAAATAAATACACCACGGCCGCATTGAAGTGTTCTGAACAGAGAACAAGCGTAGATTGGCTACAGTTCCACTACTCACTGCACGGCAGATGTTATCGGCAACTAACGTCACTACTCCTTTAGCATAGTCAGCTCCACTGAAATCAACAACAAAAAAAGCATTTACTGCATTCATGTATTCAGTCAAACAACTGTACAGACATGAAAGTCCATTCCTTAATTAAACCAAATTGCACGAGAGTATCAGGACATTGGAAATCCCAGTGTAATGTACTTCCTGAAAAATTGCCTAGAATAGTGATCACACTTGGATTTGGCTAATTGTACATTACAGTGTTCTAAATTTGTAAACTCACATCTTGAATCTCAGACTTTCACTGGTGGGAAGGGGGCCATGGTGTCCATGGTGGCCCATAACAACAAAATGTTTTTGTAAGAGAAAAGTGATTTTGGGGGTCTACATACATGTACATGTATTATCTCCCTTCAAAAAGCATCTAAACATACAGTACCAAACCTCATCCCTTCTAAAAGGACATAAAGGTCACATGAAAAATTTCCGTTTCGGCCCCAAAGCAATTTTGGTCCCCTCCAAAAAAAAACTGGTTCTCGATCAGCCCTCAGATGCACTACCTGAAATGTGACATCCATGATGCAAGATACGAGAGACGCGATTTTACGTAAGATCAGATAGATGTGAGATCCATAGATGTGAGATCCAGTAGATGTAGCATCCAAGAGATTTGAGATCAGAGATACAAGATGTGAGATTGAAGATGCAAGAGTCGATATGCGAGATTCGATACACAAAAGCCAGTAGACATGAGATCAAAGACCTGAGATGCAAAATCCAAAGTGCAACATTAAAGATCCAAGGTGAAAGATCTGTGAGATCCAAGACGTGAGATCCAAGTTCTGAGATGTGAGATGCAACATCCAAGATGCCAGATAGCATAGACAATCATACAACATTTATCTGTACACAATGATGTTTCATACAGAAATAAGGTTGGTCAGTTTGTCATGCTTATCTTTGGGCCCAAAACAAGTTCTGCTTCCGATTACATACTTTTCAAAAATAGGGTCAGTGGGTTGGAGTTTTTTTTTTTGGGGGGGGGGAATTTTTAAGCTGATTGAATGGCGTATAAGGGGTACAAATAACCCCAAAATAAATTCATTCACCCCCAAAATACATAGGCCCTACATAAACAAGAAAAATCATTTTCTGTGAATTCAGTTGCAGAAATCTTCTTCTGCCACCAATGGTTTTGGATTTGTAACCACAGTGCAGCACGTCTGTGGTATATTATCATAACACTTTTTGGCCTGTCACATATCAGTTCATAGACTAGTTGCAGTATTGCTGGCACGCTTTTTTTGGCAATTTTACTGCATGGCACACAGAGAACCAGTAAAGCATTACTTCATTACACCAAGCATTACTACCAGATTACTTGTGACAAAATAATAACAGGAAGTTCCTCCTCAAAAAGCAGCGAATGTAAGTAGGCAAACACATACACGCCTTTCGGACCAAAAAGCGTTGTTGAGGTGTTTTGTGAACACAGAAAAGACAACAGGGTGCTTTCTTTTTTTTTTTAACTTGCCGATTAACAGTTCAGGGTCACAAAATAAAAAGAGTTGGGGAATCAGAAGCAGAACTATGTTTTCGCCTTATTAAACACAGATTCTAGCATAAATTGCTCCTAATCTGTTTTGAAATTAAAATGAGCAGCATAATAATATTTATGCTGATGCATCATTAATTTTTTCCTGTGTTATGGGAGGTGGAAAATCAATTTTTCTTCAGCAGAATATCTAAAATAAGTGGGCAATAAATGGATTGGCCTTATTCGGTATTACCTCACAATTAGGCATTTGAAATGTATCCTAGTTCTTACATAAGCAAGCTCCTGGCATAAACAAGTCTCCCCCCCCAGGAAGAAATTAGGGCTCCTTTACATGTATTTAACATCTGTTCCAAAGCACTGTATGATTGGACTATACAGGTGCATGTATTTGGTCATCAAGATACATGAAGACAGTCCAAGGAAATGCACAGAGTGAGGGGCTTTTAATCTTTGTTCTCTGATCTATGGGGTGCATTGGGCTAATTTTGGAGGTGACAGACATCCTGTTTGTCTGGATTATTCCTACTTATTTGCCGACAATATGGAGCAATGTTGGCTTTCCACTCTTTACAGACGCAGATCCAGGAAGGGGGGGGCTCTAACACCCCAAAAAAGAAATCCCCAAAATGAAATAAAAATCAGTCTCAATAAGAAAGATGACTTCCTGTAAGAATTGCTTTCATTTGTACAGTTACAATTTAATGCACTACCTACATATACATGTATGTTTCCACTTGTCTGCAACAGTTGGATATAAAAAAATTTAATGGGCCTGACCCCTCCCCCCTTGAAAATTCCTGGACCCTGCCCTGCTTTATAAATAAGCCATGGAGGAAAAGGTATTTGATATAATTTATTACAGAGTTAGCCCTGGGAAAAAGAGGGAAGGGGGATATTGAGGCGGCAGACATTACTCTGATCAATACCAGTATTTATACACACAATATCACGTCGTGGGCATCATCATTTTATGAAATACATGTACATGTAGAGCGGAGATGTGTGCCTATCTGGTTTGACCTCATTGCCAATTATCTGGAAGCAGGGTTGGACATGTGGACAACTTCCCAAAGGGGTTGATAAATTATCTGCTATTGTGTACACTTTCTTGGGTCAAAATGCAGTACTGATAAAAAAAAGGGAACAAAACTGTCTGCACACAACAACAGGCAGGACCAGGTGATGGAAAGTACATGCATACAATGTATGTTTGACACCATATGTACGTACATGGCAACACTGGTTATGCGTGTGGTACTAGCAAAGACCACTTCAGAAAAACCATCTGTACAGGACTGATGCTCCGAAAATATTAATTTTCAAATAAAGCCTTAAGTACCTAAATGTGGTGCACTGTAAGGTGCTACGAATCTGAATGAAATCCCATTACTGCTTTGGGTTTTGTTTTCCAGTTTTGTTCACATTTTATTATGCTTGTTTTGTTGTCATGCCTCATCAAGATGTGCACTGAGTTCATAAGTACTGGTATATGGAAGTCACAAGTCAACAAATTGCCAAAACTCGGGTTTGAGTTGAGTAGATTTATTTTAAGAGAGTGAACATTTCTGACAGCCATTAAAAAGTCAAACTAAAAAAGAACACAAAGTTTTCAAACCAAATAATATCACAACTTTAATACAATGTCACTGTATTTCCCCTTCTTAAAGTTTGAAATATTTGAATATGAAAATCAAAATAGCTGACGACGTGCAGTTCATGTTCGCAATTTGACAGAATGTCAATTTTCAATGAGGGGTAATCACATTGGTATAAGATGACCACTTCAGAGCACAAAACATGCATTCAGTACTTACTTGGAGCTTGAAAGAACAAAGGTCTCTGGCTTAATTAACTTGGCTAGTCCAACTGGAGCAAAACAAAAGAAAAGAAATTTGTACTTGAATTTGGTCAGCTAATTTTGAAAAAAATGCCCCATCGAGTGTAATGCTTTGGGTAGTTTGAAGAAACAAAAGCAAACATGAATATAACCACCGAAAAGGCAAGAATGCAATAACATGTATGCACTCGGCACATATGATGCACACAGCAAACGTTAATATGTGTCAGTTCATAACAATATGTACATACATGAGAACATGTACATGTACCATATGGTAGAATTTCACTCTCAATATGTTAACAAATTACACAAGAGGGAGAGTCATTTTTTACAGCTTTGGGCAGGAGGACTGGCCCAAAGTGTAGCAAGTATATTCACAAAAGGTGAATGAAATGAAGGGAGAGTCCGCTGCTGATGTAAACAGCTTAACAGAGGCTTTCTTTACTCTGAAATGGGTGCAAAATTGGAAGCAACACTGATGTTTGCATACATGTACATAATTTGAATTGAAATCACTTGGCAGCACATTAACTTTGAGCGTAGATTTCGTAAGGCTTTTTCCAGGGTGGGGAGGGGTCAAACCATCTTTCTCCGGGGGAGAGGGAGAAACAAGCATATAATAGACCGTCGCTTGCTTGCAGACGAGTGTTTATGGAGGGGTTGTATACATCTGCACTTGGTGTAGTCAGAACAAGAGATAGTATGTTTCTCCACAGCAACGACAATCCTTAGGAGAGAACTCAATGGACAGGGGCACAGGTTGATGTGTGCTTGCTGCGGTCTGAACAGCACACAGGCAAACTAATCTGTGTTGGAAGGTACACTTACATGTACAGTCTTTGACTGTACACTGTGCACCAAAATTAGACGGTTCCCATCATTGATCAAGCTCATTTTTTGCAACTGAGAGGGGTACCGTACCTCTATTCAGAGTGGATAGCTGGGATTGCATTCCGTGTTCACTGAGTAATCACCTTTCCCAGTACATGTACATGTAAATTCCAATATGTATTGTACCTTTTAGTAACCCCCGGGGCTATAATAAATTACTACAGCGAAAACTTGTAGTGTAGAGTGAAGCCTGCTGGGTGCCTCCATATGTTGGTGCACAAGGCTATGGGAAACTTCTAATTTAAGCTGTGCTTAAAACAGTATGGCTATTTGCAAATCTGCTCTGTATTCTTTAAAGAAAAATGCATTTACAAAGCCAATCTGTCAAAAACCGAAACATAGACGTAACTATTTCGTTTTGCTCTGTGAACCTTTTAAATATATCACACTTCTGAGAGTAAACACTCTTATGTGTTATTCACATACCCTATGCACACCCTACACAATGCTAAAACAGCAAACATTCAAAATTCATTTCATGTTACATGTATATCACAACATGTACATGTATCTTTAACAAACACGTAAATCAATTCCAAAGGTTTGCACTTACGACGGTATCAAAGTTTCTCCATGGGGGATAATGAGGAATCAGCAATCTACATGTACATGTAGTGATTCAATACACATGTACATGTACATGTAGCTCTAGGGTAAGCCCATCACAGGCAACGACAAGAGAGTGGGAGGGACAATCACTTTGATTGGAACCTGGGACTCATGAGAACATCTTGCCTTTCAATTAACATTTGTCATGCAGAGTGACAGCACCACAATGCCCATGGACGTGCATGTGCACACAAACGGTACATGGAAAAGGGGCCACACAGAACGACTTACATGATATGCATATTATACAGAAAGTGTACAGTATGTACATGTACTTTATGTGTCCTGGGCATAATATGCATTCACGTATGACACACGTCATTCTACATGGCCTCCTTTTCTGTCTACCCACACCAATTGCTTCAAATGTACAGTACATGTACATAAAACTGCTGCATCTCTTGGTTCATGCGTGAGATCCATAAACTTCTGAGGGCTGCAGAGAAGAAGGCTGGTGGTGCCGATAAACTTACCAAATGCAGATACTGGGCAGTAAATACTGGTTCTTTCCAACAGAAATTAAACGCTTTTGACAATCAGAATCTTGCATAGACTAACCCAAGCCACAAACATATTCAGAAAGTACTTGCCAAGTACTTTTTAAGAATGCCTTTTCCATACTTTACTCAAAACGCATTCATGTATGCATATCCAAAGTCCCAATTTTTAATTTGGTATAATTTTCAGTTTGGCCTAATAACGTCAGTTTTGATTTTAGCATTTCAAAGGTCCCATAAAAAGACAGAGCACTGCATATATATACATTAAACGTATGTAAATTTATGTAAATGTTAACACTAAAACTGGGCTAACAATATTACCTAGCTACATCACAGCTAATACATGTATGTTTCTGGTGTAAATTACACTAATCTCAAGAGTACAGCGGTAAGTTCAATTATTCATAATCCTGTTGCATGCAGTTTGATTCCTATGAATAAGGTTAATCCCAACTCACTGGCCAAGACAAAGTACAGGAAAGTCAATGAATTATTCATGAGTGATGCGGCGTGCATAGTTCAGTTTCTGCAGACATGAATTAAAAAATCCATATTTTAACGTGCCACTCGATAAAGCCATTGATATGTATTCTTTATTATAAATAGTTACATCACACTGTACATTTACATATCATACAGTGGCTTGTTTCTACACTGTGTCCTGAAAAAACGAAGCAGCCAAATACTGATCATTATTAGATGTAAATGTACATGTATTGAACATGGCCTGCTTACAAACTGGGATTTTTAAAGAGGACACTCCAGAGATCAATGATGTTGTTTCTTTCACTTTCATTGCTTTTGGCTTTCCAGATATATCCTCCCCCACACTAAATATCAGCACTCAAAACAGACTTTGTTCTAGTTTTCCGAAAAGGAAGGCTATTCTGGAGTGTATAATGCTGTCAGCATCTCCTTTGGAAGAAAACTTTAAAGGTGAAACCATGTTTTTTCAGTTAGGTCACTTGATCAGCCTGGAAACTGGAAGAAACTCAATTCTGATTGTTTGCATTTCATGAGGCCTGTCTCATTTGTTCCTGGTTTATTGCTAAAATCTCAAAAGCAGCCAAGAGCTCAATTGCAGAGATCTTTACAAGCATGCATTAAAAATAACAGATAAAGTAGGACATGAAATGCAGAGGAGATACAATAAAGAATCTCAAACGATAATAAAAATGTGGAATTAAGTTAAGACAAACAAGCAAAATGTTAATACATGTATCACTCGTGTTATTCAGCAATTGAATGGGAGAAGGCATGGCACCTTTCTTAGACAGTTCTACAGAAGGATGCAGAGTATTGCTCTGATTTTCATAGTCGAAACAGCGGGGGGAAATGCTTCAACTCAGAATTAGGTACGGACTTTGCAAACAATTACCAAAAGCAAATACGATGAAATGAAAGCATCGTCAAACCAGGAATGCACTCTCTTCAAAAATTTATGCAATTTATAAATACATCAAATTGATACATTATGTTTAAACGAAGGGTTTGAAGTTTACAAATTTAAATGTTTCAATGAAACAAAGTTCAGTAAATATTTGAAGAGAAACATTTCAATGGAACTCAATTTTTTCCAGGTTCAACATTTGATTGACATGATTGATCTAAGGTTCTTTTTTACAGAGTCTAAATAAATGTATTCCTCTCATTTTCTTCAGCATCAATCTACTTTGGGGGGGAGGGACTGAATTTTTAAGCAAGAAAAATTGCTTACTGTCAGAGCCCCCTAACACTGATCTACACTTATCAATTGGGCCGATCATGAGGGCTGTCGGTGAACTACAGAAGGTGTGTGTACATGTCTACGTGTATACACCGAGTTATGTACATGTGCATGTATATGTACATGTAGGTGGTGGTGGCCTCTGTAAAGTGTTGGCAAACTATTTAAACATTTAAACAGCAGGGGAAAGTTGTTCAGATTGTTTATCAAATGAAATGTAGAATCCCACCCGATGTGGGGGGGCACTGTACACTATCTACACTGTGTACTACCGAAACAAAAATAAATGCACACGTAGAGCAAAATAATACGGTGACACAACCAACTTAGAATCAAAGTACAGTACAGCTCATGTATGTTCAAATTTCTTGAAATCTGAAGACTTTCCTTAGAGGGGAATTAGAAAACTGGCTGGCTTTTTAATTCGAAGGGAAACATTTGAAGATGTTTCAACTTTAGCGTTCAACTCACAGATGTCTACCCATTAAACGTGCAAGGTTGTGAAATTGTCTAAAACATGTCGCATACTTTTCATGTTGCCATGATCGTAAAATTAAACCTAGTGAAACAAGACGGCGCCATAAACATTGCGATTCTGAACAGCATAGTATACTATGCACATCAGCATGGCTGTGACTACTAAGCATTTTAACACTGCAGATGAGATGAGAAATTAGTGTGTGCAATTGTTCTACGCAGTAAAACATCATGAAAGCTTTGCATGGGGATTGGCATTCACGGACACCCAAACACAGGAGTGACGGTGGAGCATTTGAGATCTGAGTCACATATAGGCCTACATGCAGTCCAGAGCACAGGCAAGAAGAGAAGGTCATGAATCTGCAGTGAGCTAGTTTGGTACATGTATTCCAAAGCGCATACCTAAAGTGAAGCGCGTTCAAGATCATTCGGATGCACACGCAAGGTTTACCCTAATATCAGCATGGCCCTACGCAGATTCGCACGTGCGCTTTGTTGCCAAATGACCCTGCAAAGTAAGTCAATTCATTTGTGGGTACAGTCCACTAATTCAAGCTCCATTGAAAATAGTGTAAGACCAGCACTGTTCAGGGCCCAATAACATGCATACCAATTTTCATCCTTGAGATTTCTGAAACACAAATGAATTATTGTCTGGTCCCTAATCTTTCAATTATTCCCACAAAACAAAATCACCCCCGGAAAGTGATTTTTCCCAAGTCCGATTGCAGCCATTTTTTAAGTGGCAACCCTCAACTTTCTCGGGCACTGAGGACCATTTTTCAACCATAGTTTTTAGCCACTCTCCTCTCATATGAAAGCTCAAAGACCAAGGGAGTTGATCCTGGCAACGATTTACACAGTCTCACCATTTTGGGGGCCAAAAAAACTCCTTTTTCAAAAGATACTGTGGGGGCACTTTAATGCTAATGAGCTGGCAGGAAATTGTGCACCCTCGTGAAAAAGGAGGTTTTTCTTGAAGGACAGCTGCTAGTGTGGAGGAAAGTGCTTCTGGGTGCCAGATCGGATATCTATTGCAACCAGGATTGGACAAGTACATGTACGTGGAAGTTGTACATACATGTACATGTATGTACTAGTAGATGGGCTTTAAGCAGTTTGTGGCCATTTACCTGAGGCTTATGCATCCAAGGAAAAGAGGATTTTTGCAGTTAAACTGAGGCAAATGTGTGAAGTCAAAAATCTCACTAATAAACACTACTACATGTATTTCTCATTAATAACCTGTAATTACTTGTGACAAATACATGCTATTTGAGACTTACTTGACGGTAATTAGGCTTAGTTTTAGAGAATCCTGCAGGAGTGAGGTTTATTTTTGCCTTGCAATGGTTTTAATTTCTGTATTTTGTATTTCGGTTTTGTTGTATTCACTGTAATTAACATTTTTCACATAGATTTCCTGCACGTGTACACGTATTTGGTTGCCCGGAACTGGGACAAAAGATTTGGGCCTTATAACAAAAGACCGTATTTGGTTGCCCGGAACTGGGACAAAAGATTTGGGCCTTATAACAAAAGACCGTGCTTAGCACAAAAGACTGAGCTGCTGGGCATTACCAACATTTTTTCGCTCTCAATAGTGGAGATAATACAGCCTTGTTTTGAAACAGTATACAACAGTTTGAGGCATTTAGAACGAGCGGATTACCACCGGGGACAAAAGCTCTCCACCACCGCAGCGCTGAGCCACACAGCACCGCTGCATGCTAATCTGGCCCCTATTGAAAAGAGGTCAACAGTGCACGTATCGGGAACAAAAGAATCTTACGTAACACAGCACAATCTGGGCTCTTTTTCCAAGGTTGCAGGCCTGGCTGAAATATTCAGGAGTCAATTAATTTTACCTGTCAGCTTTAGAGTAGTCCCAAAGAGTCCTTCATGTGGGTATAAACGGCCATTAAATGAAATGAGGAATTTTTGACGAATTTTGAAAACGGAAAATCTTGAAAAGGACCCGGCATCTTGTCTTGCTCAAGAAAAATCCAACCGGCAGCAAGTGGTTAAAATTAATGAAAAGCTGTGGCCCCTTGCATGATGTGGCAGCTTGTAAGCTTTGCATTTTTGTTTCCATTTTTTTTATTGTTAACTGTTTCATTTTCTTGTTCTATTTCAACTGATTTCTTATTGGGGTGAGGGGGAAGTTGGGAGGAGGGAGACTTTGATCAATGTATATTGTAGCTGACACAGTACAGCTGACGTTGTACAGTTTTAGTACAGTTTTAGTCTGGTTCCCACATCAAAAGGTCCCAACTATTTTTGAGTCACATGGGCATGCACCTTAAAACAGAGGGAAGTGACTTTGACAATATGTTCTACTCCATTTTCAAGGATGCTGGCTACCATTTAAATGTCTCAAAAGTTACAAATTACAATTAGGATGGCACCAGACTGTTTACAATTGTCACATGTTCAAGCCTCCCTTTCAATATTTTTCTAAACTCTGGCTCAAAACACCTACGTACATTTTTGAATGTTTAATCACAAATTTGAAATTATTCATCAGAGCAGACATGTTAGTGCTTTGTCATGAATTCTATTTTACTGCTTTCATTTCTACTTTCAACATTCAAAACTTGAGAGTTAACCACTACCTGCCGGGGACTCCGAAATCGGAGCCGTATGGTTTATATGCGTGGTCGGGGTCTCCGAACTAGGACAAAGGAAACAGGGCCCTGTAACAAAAGACCGAAAGACTGAAATCGGAGCCCTATGGTTTATATGCGTGGCCGGGGTCTCCGAACTCGGACAAAGGAAACAGGGCCCTGTAACAAAAGACCCTACTCCGAACAAAAGACCAGGCTGCTGGGCATTAACGGCATTTTTCACTCTCAAAAGTGGTGATAATCCAGCGTTGTTTTGAAACCGTATACCGGGTTTGGGGCATTGAGAGCGAGCGGATTACCACCAGGGACAAAGGCGCTCCACCACCGCAGTGATGAGCCATGCAGTACTGCTGAACGCTAATCTGGCCCCTATTGAAAAGAGGTGAGCAGTGCACTGAGCCAGGTTCG